TTTTGAATGTGCTTAATGTGCAGCTGGTTCGTCCGTTAAAAGGACTATCAGATATTGGAATTTCTGAATTTTTACCGATGATTGATTGGCATGAAATGTCGCCATGTCCAGAACTTTAAAATTAAGCCAATCAGTATATTTACCATTGAAACTCGGAATGTTTAAACGAGGAAGTTTAAAGCTATCCTCAACTGCTCGAATTCCGCAATTTCAGAAGGTTCTTCGGTAAAGCGGCATCATATTAATCAAATATATTTGTTGTTCTTTCTAATCGGGTTTTTAATTCCATTAACAATTATTGAAACTAGTGAAGCTGCGTTAGGGTAAATTTCACTTATCCTCTTAAATCTTTTAAAATGGGCTTCACTACTAAAAAAGTTACACTTTTTTAGTAACTTGTTGAAGTTAGTAAGTTTAACAACTTAAGTTAGTAAAAAATATGCCTCTAGTGTAGAATTAGGCGCCTCTTCGATTAGGGACAAATTTTGCTCAATTTTGGCAATGAAACTCCATTTCTAGTTACCATGATAGTTTTAACTTTGTATTAGCTTCCTGATTTTTTTAAGTGAAAATATATTGACAAGTATGTGGACAAAGTTAAGGCAGTGTGCAATGCCTAATTTGTGCAATTCTCTGATGTTTTTTAAGTGAAAATAGATCGATGTGTATATGTATACTGAGTTTGTGCAATTCTTTGACTTCTTATTTTGGTTTTGTGTAACAGCCATCTTGAAATTGTGCCCTCCTGGTGTCAAAAAAGAATCACATACACACACACAAAAAAAAAGGGGGGCACCCAATTGTAAACTTTTACCAAGTATTTCCACTTACCTTTATGGCGTGCAGAAGATCTGCAGTGTTAGTACTTAAAAAAGTCCATTAAAAGACAATTCTGAAGCATACATTTACAGCATAGTTAACATATATATTAAACAGCCTTTTCTAAAGTACAAGACAAAAGCCTTCTAAAGCCTTGAACTAATAATGAGCTTTGTAGACAAACTTTATTAACATTCTAAAAACATGAATTATTATGTCCAAGAAAAATGCCTGCAGGTAAGAAAACTATTCCACACCAAACGAATAAAAATATAATATTGTTGCTATTCACACAAATTTCAATAGTAAAACAAAACATGTTGCTAGTTACAAAATTATCGTATTAATGATAACACAGAATTAAATACCGAGAAAATAAACAACACGAAAGAAAAAAAAGAAATGCAGGTAATATATACATATCCAAACAGTAATACTTCACAAGGATAGTATCATAATTTTTCATGCCAGTTGGCAGCCATAAATTATCCAATAATTTGCACATCATAGAAAACAGAATTTTAAAGGGGATCTCCATTAATATTATCGCAAGCTATGGGTTTATGAATGTCTTTTTAAATAATCACTCTAGATCATCAAGAACATATTAAAACTTTATGGCAATTAATAACACACAGTAAAATAAGCAGCTGTAAATAATTCAGAGAGGATGAAGATAGCAGGCAAATCCTCCTTAATATATGAAAAACATCTTAAAATTCAAAATGCAATTCAGTTCACTCTCTCAGATCTGACAAATAATTTATTAGCAATCCAGGCTCTTGGAGCCATATTTATATGGTGTTGACAGACCTTTGAAAATTTCAGGAAAAATTACTCTTTCAGCTTCTAAAATGAGTCTTCTCGAAACTCCCAGAAAGTTGCCAAACTGGTAAGAATTACAGATTACACAATGTCTGAAACTAATGTTTCACGCTTTACCACCTGTCCGAGTTCCATCTTTTTTCGAAAGGGTTTTCTAACGTGCATGCCAGAATGAGATTCGTTAACATCTCAAAGTAATTTCCAGATCAGTGTTGGGTTTATAACGATTTTCAATACAAGAGTTTATCATAACACAAAAGCAAAAAATTGTGAGTATGAACATATTTCAGAGATTGCTCCCACAGCTATCACAAAATTATATGGGATATATGCTTCAAAAGGTAAAGGGGAATTTTGTAACTAAATTAGTATAATGCTAAGAAATTAAACTGCCCTAAGCCAGACTATTAGTGCCATTTTTAAAACGAAAAAACAATCTGAGATAAAAATTCAGAGTTAGTTAAGTATGTACTGGAGCAACATTGGCAACTATACATTTCATAATTTCACAAAACTTGCAATTAGAAATAAAGCATGACATTAAAAAATATTTAAAACTCTAAGGTTATTTTGAAAGGGAACCATGTAAATTTATTATCACATATGAGGTTGTGAATACCTTTCAGAGAGAGAATCAAGCTGTATACTCCTGTTTAAAAAATACAAGAGCAAGTTTTTTATGATGTAAAGATTGCTGGTAACTTCAGATTTTAGATAAGACAAAATTTGTTTATGTACAGTGAATGCAAAATGCTAAAATCAGTTTTATATAATAGCAGAATAGATTTCTGAAGCCTTTGCTTATTCTGGAGCTTTATATGAAATGGAGTTTGTAAGATGTAAAAAAAAAAAAAAAAAAAAAAAAGTGAGTACTGCTACTAGCGCTCCAACACGATAAAGACTCACATATCACATCCAGTAAGGGGTCCTCTTTCTACAAATGGAAGCTCAGCAAGTTTATACACTACATTTTTTTTTTTTTTTTTTTTTAAATCCTATTCCTGCTTTCTTGGCTACATCATTCATTATTTTTGCAGATGTAGTTTACTGAAAACAGCTTGTAGGCAGCGGATGATTTAGAAATACCTACCAGGGCCAGGACGGCAATGAGACTATATACACAGCAAAAAATCACACATACCAAATATATAAGCAAAACTTCTACCACAAAATTATCATGGGTCCTTCTTTCATATTCCTCTAACATAAATGGTGGTGTATAGAACAAGAAGCGTGTCACCAGAATTTTACTAAGGGTAACAGATTTCACCATACTGCAAAAAATTTGAAATTAATCCCCCAACACTGGATTGTGTGATTTAGTGCCTGTGATATTCTGCACTACATATGCTATCTCCCTGCCGCAATGCACATTACGTGCATTTAAATATCTGTGCATTGCTTTTCCTCGCTGTTTGTTGCTACTATTCTTCTGTTTCACCAGTGTTTTTAAAATGCCATTTTTCTAACTAGAGGTATTATTAAAATGCCACTTATGATTTTTTCAATGTGCAAATCCCATTACAATTAAACAAATATCGTACTGCTACTAGAAATCCTTAAAATTTCATTGTAACTACAATCATGGCAGCTCAATCATTGTTATTTAAATCTTTTTCAGTTACATACCTTACACCTTAAGTTTCATTCCAGTTCACAGAAAGCCACTATGGACTCTTATATACAGGAAGTTATGACATTTTACGTTATATAAAAAAATTACATATATTATTTTTCTATATAATTATCTTCTCTATAAAACATTCGTCACAGGACCTTGTAACATTGATGACACTTTTCAAACTACTTTATTAACTGTTCAAACAATACTATCAAACACTGCCTTTTCTGAAATGTTCAGAATAATTTATATACACTAGTATCAATCACATCATACACTAGTATCAATCATGCAGTCTTAATCATAAACATTAAAAAATCTGCAATGAATTTCAGCTGCATTTTATCCTTTAGCATGAGGAAACTTATCAAAAAAAAATCTTGTAGTAGGTAGGATGATTAATTACATCTGACATCTTTAAATGCATGTTATGCAATCATAAATAATAGATTAAAGAACAAATGAGATACATGGCACAGACACTTTCTGTGTATATACTGCATCAGCATACTATCATTTTTTCTCTCTATCTCACTGACTTAAATACAGTCATTGTATAAGGCATGGTATGAGTATTTAAAAATTTATTCTCTATAATGGTACAGATTTTAATGAAATTTCATAAATAAAAGATACATTTTTTTAAAGAAAATTTAAGAAAGACAAGCACATGTAATTTGATAGACTTTCAACACATTCGCTGCCAATCATGCACTGGCATTATTGCTGAACATCAAATCAAGCTCTTGCCCGTGGTGTGATGTCTCTGCCAGTCATGCTGGTGCTGGAAAAGCAACGTCTCATTATTTATTTTCAAGTTCAACTAGCATTACGTTTTGGATATATATGCTGGTATTGCCGTGAAGTGAAGGTTGGAAATTAGTTATAAATATATATGGTTTGGAATGGCAACAAAGTTTCATTTCGTGCAGAGATCATACACAAATAACATTCTAAAATATATAGTTTGCAATATCATTTTAACTATCTTGTTATAAATTAATTTGTAATACAAATATTTGTTTGTGATACAGTTTCATTCCAAAATAATGTGTACTGCTATTTATTTTGATTCACTTTTAAATGCTATGTGCCAGCGTGTAATGCGACATTGCAGAAGTAATTTTACCTTTAGTGCTGATCAAGCGCTGGTGCGCAGTAATAAAATTCTGTGCTTAAAGGGTTAGCAATTTATGCTGCACTCATAATAAACTTTTATCACCTCTTTTAAATCACATTTCTTACAATAAGTAAGTCAGCATATGTGTAAACTATACTTCTGTGACACAGCATTAACTATCAATACAACCTTACATGACTGGCAGCGAAAGTGTTAACTATACGTTGATCTCCGAAACAGCAAATATAAATTATATAAAATAAAATTACAGAATAAATATTTGCAAAATGTTACAACTCAAGAGCAAAATCTGTAGAAACTGATCACAAACCAAATGGAAAACACTGCTGTAATACAGTAATCATTTATAAGCATTATTGAAATTTAATAATCTGCAATCATGAATCACTTAATTAAGATTTACTATGAGGAAATAAACCATTTTCAACAAATATTGGTGTAATGGAGAAATTTTAAGCCATGCACATTTCAATGATGTTATCCATATTCCCTTCTTTGAAATTTTTTAAATTGCATTTTTAGCTGGACACAGCATTTTAGATTCACAATATATGTACAAAAGATAAGAAAATATTGCAAAAATATAGACACAAATGAAGATAATTAAATTTTATTACTCATAGAATTGTTACATATAACTGAAAACAGCCTAAAATATAAAATTTTTCAAAACAATGAAAAACGTTTTTGAAAGAGTTTTAACAGTTCAGAGTAAAGAATACATCCATAATAAAGAGTGCTTCAAGAAACATTTTACTTCTTGCGGCCACCTCTTTCCTTGACTTGCAAAGCAACAATGGAGTTAGTTGACAAGTTGTAATATGCCAGGGAGTTGGAATCTTTGATAAACATTCCCTGAATAATGGGGAAAAAAAAATTATCAGTCTTTAACTATATACATAATAATTATAATGAAGCTTGATGTAGTTGATGACACTTTTCAAACTACTTTATAAACTGAAACTAGGCTTCCCCCAAAACAGAAAAACCTACATACTTAATAGAAGTTGTTATAATAAGCATAAACTGAGGTTTCATTACACCTACATTTCAAAATTATTCTTTTTTCAGCAGTTTGTTTTATATATCACATCATTTAATAGAATAGTTTTTAAATTGTTTTTCCAATCATCATCAGCATCATATGCTTAGTTATGGCATTAACCTGGAAAATATTTGAATTTATGAGGGGGAAGAAATAGGCTTAAAATTCATTTCTTGTCAAGGGTACACATATTTCTGCTTGCAAAGTTTAGACGAATTTCTTCTCTTGCCGTTTTATTTGTAATATAAACTTTAAAATTAATAACTATATTGGGCAAATGATTATGTACAAAGAATGCATATTAAACTTATCATTTTCATAAAGAGCTTTAGTTTGATAAGATAATATATCTACTATATACTTTGAAAAAGTACCGTCAAAACAGTTAATAATAATGGAAATAATTTATATTCCTAACATCATTCTAAATGTGCTTTATAGATGACAACACAAAAATTTATGTTTACATTAAATTAATATTATCTCTTTACCAAACGGTTAGGTTAATTATGAAGGCAAAAAAAATCAAGGTCTATTTGCCTTGGGGAGGGATGCCTTCATGGAGGACTTTTTAAGGGAAACTGGCTTACATCCATTTTACACATCAGGAAAGCCACAAAAAACTCCCATACAATGAGCCCACTGCCCAGGATCCAAATCCAGGACCAAGAGAATTATATGAAAATTTTTTTAAGATGTATAAATATATGTTTTCAGAGCCATTCCTTTTTCAGGTAGATACAACAAGCGGCAATTTTTTTTTACGATGCTACATTTAATGAAGGGAAAAAAACTTTAATTGAAATGCTATAAATATTAACCCGCTCAGCATTATGGATGAAAAATCTGCATAAAAGGCTGGCTTCTTCATTTATAACACATGAAATTTCTGCCAGCTTTAATTATATCCAATTTCAGTTTGAATGTATATTGGAAGAAAATGAATCAAGGTACAAAGTGAGATAGTAATTTTTCAATTAAAATCAAGAAATACGTAGGTCACTCAGAAAGTTTGTTGCACTACTGCATAAATATGTTCCATCTAAGACTATTTGGATGACACTGTGTGGCAACACTTCAGACATGTACTTTTTATCGCGTGGCGCAGAGGCTTCCCCAAGAGGCAAGTTTAGTTTTTCTGATAATCAGTCGCAAACATGTCTTGACAGCTGCAAACAGCGTCCAAACTGAAAATGCGTGCAGTGATTCGTTTTTTTTTTGGGTGGGCAAAAAGATGCAACTGCTCTGAACGTTATGGGCAATTGCATGAAGTGTATGGTGAAAATGCAATGTCACTATACACTTCATGCTATCGCGAAATGGTGCAACATGTTTGAGAATGGACTTACAGATATTGATGACGTGGAGCCCGAAGGAAGACCATCAACTGCAACAAATTTGGAAATCGCTGCTCACATGAATGAATGCATTCTTGCAAACAGACACATAACAATAAACGAAATCTCAAATGAACTGGATATTTCTCATGGAAGTGTGCATAAAATTATTGACGATCACCTTAAATTTCATAAAGTTTGAGCTCGGTGCCACCTCTATTGATGGAGGAACATTAAGGAAAGCGTTTTGAAAGTGCATTTGCATTTCTGCAATGTTACCAAACGGAAAGAAATTAGTTTTTGGACAAAATTGTGACTGGAGATGAAACTTGGATTCACCACTTCTCACCTGAAACAAAACCCAGCTCACTCAAGTGGAAACATTGCAGTTCCCTGATACGAACAAAGTGTCGAACTGTTCCATCTGCCGGAAACGTGATGATGGCACTGTTTTTCGACAGAGAAGGTATGGTGCATACAAATTAAATTTACTGACTGTACCAATCACATGGCATCACAACCTAAACACATGCCCCAACATGCAAGCATACAATGTCAAAGGCAAATGGCTAACTTATTCATTCTCTCTGTTTCCTTCAACAGCAGTCCGTCTCTGAAACTATAAGTAGTGTATTTTCAAAAAATACATAATTAAAAAGTATTTGTGGACCACATAACATTGCTTTGAGACCATTGCACCAAATGAAATGGCATACAGTAGCATGCTTTCTTTTGCATGATAGTACAAAGTGGATAAATTATACTCATTCATCTTTTACCCTTTTTTTTTTTTTTTTTTTGCTGTATCCATAAACTCTGCCATTCTGTACTTTTTTTAATGCAGTTGCAATTTTGTCATTTACAACTGCATTCGTATTTGTGCTTTCACTATGAAAAAACTAGTTTTTATAACTACGAGGGCTATCCAGAAAGTAGATTACGTTTTGGAATAAAAAAATAAACAAAGTATAGGAAACAAATTTTATTATATACAGATGAAAGCCACACTCAAATACTACTTTTCTACATAGTCACCATACAAATTAAGGCCATTTATCGTAGCGATGTACGAGCTTGGAAATTCCTTCGTCGGAAAATTCGGCCGCCTGCGCCTTCAACCACTTCGTTACCTCTTCTTGCAGCTGTGCGTCGTCATCAAAACGCTGCATAGCCAGCCACTTCTTCATTGCTGGGAATAGGTGGAAGTCGCTCGGTGCCAGGTTGGGACTGTACGGCGGATGAGGAAACAACTCCCACTTAAAAGATTCAAGAACTTTACGAGTGACATTTGCCGTGTGGGGCCGGGCGTTGTCGTGAATCAACAAGATCTTAGAGCTCAACATTCCTCTGCGCTTGTTTTGAATTGCTCTTCTGAGTTTTTGGAGAGTTTGGCAATACCTTTGAGAGTTTATTGTAGTGCCTCTTTCCAGGAAGTCCACCAAAATTACACCTTTTCTGTCCCAAAAAAACAGTCGCCATCATCTTCCTTGCCGACATTGTTTGCATGCATTTCTTGGGTTTTTGGGGAGAACTTGTGTGCCCCCACTGCATTGATTGCAATTTCGTTTCACAGTTCACATGTTTCACCCATGTTTCGTCACCAGTAACGATGCGATCGAGTAAAGAGTCACCATCCTTATGGTAAGCGTCCAAAAAGTTCAACGCTGCAGCCATTCGCTGATTTTTGTGGTCCTCTGTCAAGATTTTTGGAATCCATCTTGCACAAAAACTTGTGGTAACCAAGCTTTTCGCTGATGATTTCGTGCAACAAACTTTGCGAAATTTGTGGAAAACTCAAAGAAAGTTCCGTTATTGTGAAATTTCGATTTTCACGGACTTTAGCATCGACTTTTTCGAGAAGTTCGGCGGTCACTATACTGGGTCTCCCACTTCGATCTTCGTCGTGAACATTGGTTCGGCCATTTTGAAATCTTATGACCCACTGACGCACTCCACCTTCAGTGATAATGTTGTCCCCATACACTTCACGAAGCTGCCGATAGATTTCTATCGGTTTACAGTTTTTTGCAGTCAGAAACCTTATTACTGAGCGCACCTCGCAGCTCGCGGGATTTTCAATTAACGCAGACATTTCAAACCGTCACAGTATCTGAACGGAGCACAGCACGAACCTCTCACTAGCACGGCTAGATGCAGACTGAGCTGCGCAACGCTCTGACCCCAAGATGGCCGCGCTAACCCCGCCCCTAGCGGACACAGACGGAAACGTAATCTACTTCCTGGATGGCCCTCGTATTAAGTACTTTATCTTAAAAATCTTAACTAAGATTTGCTAAAAAGACTATTAAAAGAAATTTATCAATGATATTCTGAAGAACTTACATCAAGTTGCAATTTCTGTTTTCCGGGTGGCATTCCAATTGATTCATGAATCTTTGCTTTAATAACTGATACCTATGAGCAAATATAAAAACATATTACATCACAATTACACAAATTAATGCAATTTGAAAGAACGAATTAATTTTAGATATTTTCATATAATTTACTAAATTTAATAAGTTTATTAAATTTGGTTTCAAAAGCATCAGGTTATGTATTTTTAATTATACAAATTATCTTAATATAAATAAAAAAAAGTTCTTGTGAATGCAAATTTTACTGCTACTTCACACACAAATTTTACATAATTTTAAAATCTAACAATTAAATATTTGCAAGCAAAAAAAGAACTAAAATGAATATACTAACAGAATTCTTAAGGCCCTATTTAAAAATTGGGGACACGTTTTCTGAGAAATTACATTTAACTTATGAAAAATCATTTTTATGAAAATGTTTTCAGGAATAAAGTTTATTTTCTAGCAGTTTCTTTGAATTTATAATTTTACATTTAATTAAAAATCCATTTTAAATCAAATTCTATATCATGTCAGATTAAAAAAATATTTAATAATCCACTTTCCATACATATAATTTTGTTATATTAAGTGCAGACAGATTAAGACTCCCCCTTCTTTTTTTAAAAAAAATTATTTCTATTTTCAGTGCAATATTCAGACTACAGAATCAATTTATTTTAATAAATTATTAAAATTAGTGCATCAAATAAATATTTTTAGGCACACTAATGTTAAGTTGAAATTATAATTCTAGAGATTAGATAAAAACTTTTAGAGCATGAAATTATTATTAAGATAAAAACATGTAAACACAAATCAAAAACAGAAAGGGAGAGAAAAAGATGGAAAACTGAAAGAAGGAAAACTTTTAATACCTGATCAGTCAGAGGTAACGTGAAAGCCAGAACTTGGCCATTGAGTTTCCACTCTGGTTTTTCAGCAACAGATGGCACCTGGACTCTAAATGTTACAGGACCCTATTAAAAAAAAAAAAAAAAAAAAAAAAAGTGTTATTAAAACGTTTACTTTCAGAATTTAAAATAAAGAATGTTTTATGGTAAATGATATTTATACTCTTCTCACTCTGAAAATTTCTAGCAACAATTCTTGCAAATAAAATTAATAAATAAGTTTTACAAATAAAATGCAATCAAACTTTAATAGACAAAATGATTGTGCTGGGTTCAATATATGTAGATCCAAAACCCTGAATTGTGTTGGATGACAAACAAATTAAAAAGGCAAAGAAAGCAATCTATGAACTTTTATTAAGAATGAAATTATTCTCAGAACAACTCGAGTATTAGGACAGTTAAACTGCAGATATTGCATCTGAGTCTCTATCATCCTTTTCCATTGATGAATTAGATTTTGAGAAATATTTGGATAACATTGAAAAGGCTAAGGAAAAGCGAATGAAAATAAATAACCAAGAGCCTTTAGATATAAAAATGAAAAAATACACACAAGATTTATATGTGGGCTTTGAAGAACCAGATAAATATGATTGCTCTTGCAAGACACCTCTTTTACAACTTATAAAAATCTATCCTGAAAAGTTAAAGGAAGTAGCCCTATCAGTCACAGCTCTTCTTCCTACTCAAGTCAGTGTGGAAAGATACTTCTTCAGTTCTGAAGTTTATCAAATTGGACCTATGGTCCTCTAACAAAGAAGATCTTGCTGAAATTTCACTGTTTCTTAGAAATTACTAATGCCAGTTTTTCCATTTCATAATAAATGCTAATTAATATAAAAATTTTGCTATGCATCAATTTTTTTCTGTAGCATCTATTATTTCTTTTATATTAAAAAAATAAGCTGTACCCATGTGTATATGTTTACATATATATGAAGGAGTCGGACATTTTCCCTATCGACTCCACAGCCCTGCTCATAAAGCATAACGATCATATAAAAGCGAATATGAACTGACCACGCGGAACGAGAATGCAAATTACTACAATCTTGATGGAAATTCAAACATGTGTAGTATTTGGGTGGCAGAAAAAGAATACCAAATGTACTGGAATTTCCTACCACTTTCACAATTCTTTGACAAATAGAACGACATGCACCAAAGGTTATGTTAGTGCAAAGAAAGGGGGAAAAGCTATTTCTGGGAGTATGATTCACCATCTGTCGTTCCATATAAGGTAGAAAAGTTGGCTTTCATTAAAAAAAAAAGGTACTAAAAACAAAAAAATAAGGGCTTTAAAGAAAAAGTAAGCACCTATAAGGGCCTTTATATTTTAATTTCAAATATAAGGACTTATAAGAACTGCTATGAATCCTGATAAAAATATATTTTTTAATAAAGAACTAACATTAAACAAATCTCTGAAAGACAAAAATACTTACTTGTAAAAAAACATTCTTATTATTAGCATCTTTTAACAAAAATTAATACTTTAATCGTTTTCGTACAAATACTATTAACAGTGGCAGATTTTGCTTTCATTAAGAAGGAAACTTCATAATTTTGTTCATAGCAATTACCACTTTTGCTAATAAAAGGTTTCTTAATGTGTTATTACTAGTGCTAGATCTGAATTTGGCCCTTGTTTTCATAGCAACACTGAAAATCTTTTCGCATTCTGCATTACTATGGGGAATTGTCAGAATAGCCAACATTATTCTAGACAGTTCACTATACTTTAAATTCCATCAGCACCTTTCAGTTTTCCAATTAAACTCCACTGGGTGCCAATCCTAGCTGATTTTATAATTTTATCCAAGTTTTCCAATTGTAAACTGCAAAACGCAACTGAAATTTTATCAGCTGCAATATCAATATCATTTTTCATGACTAAATGAAGTACAACTGGAAATCTATTGAAAAAAAATCTTATATCAGAAAAAGATGCATTTGCTAGAGCAGAAACATCAGCAACTTTAGCATGCAAAATCACTTCATCGTTGACTGGAAATTTATGTAGTATGTAATCACATACTCAGAAGTAGCTTCTAACATGTATATAAAACATACTTTTGTCTTCCTTGGAAAGATCCTCCACTTCTTTTTTAGTTGCAGCCCCTATTACCAAATCTTTATCTTTCTTTTGATTTTCTATTTCACCACAAATCACATCATATATAGAATTAGAAGACAAAACAATGACTGGTTTTACAAACTTTGATAAAATGTCTTTAAATACATCATAAATCATTGATTGCGAAACATGAATGAATGCAATTCTGCTTTGTAGAACTATGTTAAGAACATCGAATGATGGCAAAATGAATTGTACAAAGGTGCAAAAAGCATTGTTAAGCTTTGTTGTCGCTGAAGACAAAAACAAATATTCGTTCTTCACAAGATAAAATTACAGTAATCGGAAAAAGGTTTCCCTTGTTGATTTTTTATTTATTATTATTTTTTTGAGAGTAATTTGTATCAAATTTACGCTCATATTTGTAGCATTATTTTGAGAACTGTTAATTTAATTCCTCACTGGTGCAGAAATTACTTTGTTTTTCTCAAACCTATTTTTAACAGTTGAAGTAGTAGCTACATCTCCATTTACTTTAGGTATTTTACAACTTTCAATACAGCATTTTATCTTTACTCTAGAAGTATTTACTTCTTTAAAAAATGCAAGAAGTGGGTTCCATTTATAGAGGATTTCAGATAAACATTTCTTTAAAAATAGCTAGTGTGTACATACATATTTCAAAATTTTCCTTATTTCAGTATTTGATAGCTGTTCGAATTGTTTCACTTTTTCCTTTCTTTTATAACTACATTCAAGATAATAATAAATATCAACAATGTATTCATCTACATTCATTGGTCAAGATGCTGCTCTTTTTTTCAGCTGCTAAATTTAAAAGGTGATGTCATAATTTGCAAATCTGATGCTCCTTTTTTTAAGATGCCTGCAACATCAGTCTTCAAACCTACCATTACTGGTGCATTATCAGCACCAAGTGCTACGCAATTATCCAGAGGAATTGCATTTTCGTTTAAAATTTTAATAATTAGCTGTGCTATATTAAAGCCTGTCAAACATTCTTAAGGTGGGAATGGAAAGTAAACTACACTCGATTTCTCAAGACACTGGATTAAAATAAGAAACAACAATTGGATACAGTTTTGAATTGGTATTATTGGTTCCATTCGTAGAGAATGAAGAAATCTCAAAAATGAAGCTGTTTTAATGCAGTTAATAACTGAAGATTTAATTTTCATACCCATTTCTTTAACAACTGCAGCCGTTTTGGTCCTTGCACTTGAATATTTCTTAGTGATTTTGCTATTGGGAAACAATTTTCTAAATAAAGCTGAAGCATGATCCATTGCATTCAGTGGCAATTTGTGCTCAAGTAAAAAGGCAGAGAACAGGCATTCGGCATTAATAACTTTTTGGTCCTTTGTTTCCACAGTAAAATCTAATTTTTTGTTTTTTCAACAGAATTCATGTTGTCATTGTGTTTTTGTGTACGCACGTGTTTGAAAACATCGCCCCTTCCACCATACCAAATCGAAAAATCGTAATGACAAACAGTACATATTGCAAATGTATTACAATTCCTTGAGGAAATGATAGAAGGAAAGTCATCTGTGTATAATTTCTGAAGAATACATGAGTATTTTACTTTTTTCCCAGACATACCTAACACACAAAATTGTAATTTCTTACACTATTTCTCGAAAGCACGTGCACTCACACCCGTCAACAAGATGAATGAAATAACAGATCTGATCTTGGTTTCTGCTCATTGGCTAATATATGCCAGATGATATGCACTGTGCTCGATCTTGATTGCAGAACCAGAACACAACGTTTTTGAACACATGTGGTCTCACTCACAAAGCAGAAGCGTGTCATAATTTCTCACTGACGAAACGAGTTTGGTTTTCTTTTAGATGTAATCTAGAGAAAAACCAAGTGACGTCCAGGATCACGTTTTTGGTGCAAAGAACGAAGTATTAAGCCAACATACATAAAAATCATGAGAAATGTTAAGAATAAGAAAAAAGTCGGGAGAAATCCATTGAAAATCGGGTTGGCGGGAGAACAGTCCGAAATCGGGAGAGTTGGCAACTCTGAAAATGCATGCAAAATTTAAAGCAAAATAAAATTATATAAAGGCTTCAGGTTCTAATATATATACATCAATAAGGCATAAAATAATTGTTCTTACAATTGTAAATTCAATGTATCAATAACAAGCAGTGAAAACTAAACAGTTCACAAATACCTTATTCTTTTTAAGGAATTCTTCTTCTGAAATAAGAGAATCTTCAGTCTTTTGTTTTTTGGGAGCTGGTTCATCTTCTGAGGGAGCAGCGGCAGCTGTCTTGCCAGGGACCAATGTCTGAGTTTGCTGAGGTGGAGGAGGAGGTGCTATTGGATGCATTGGAGGAACAAAGGAAGTGCCAGGTGGTCCAATAACAGGTGGCATTGGGGGCCTTGGCATAGCTGCACAAACAAATACAATATATTTAAGACTAAATTTTTAACTAGTTAAAATTAAATTAGCCATCAATATAGCAGTTTTATTTAAGAAAGATACATAGCATTTTAATTTACTGGATAATATATCTGAATCTTCGAAGCTAATAATTAAAAATTTTTTATGAATCTACTACTTTAATGCTAGAGATAAAATAAGGTCATGTACAATATGAAACACAAACTATAATCTTGATATTTTAATACAGTTTATATAACAGTATTTGTATAAAATAATACAACATTACAATATTAATCCACTTTTTACTTTTTTACACAGATTACAAGCAGATACATATGCACTATTTAAAGGTTTTTAAATTTAATCTTAAATTATTCTAGTTCATCCTTTCCTTCTAAATAGTTAATAATATTATAATGAAAAGCTCAAATTCTGGCAACGAAAAAAAACATATTTACTATATCTTTTTTAATACAGGAAACACACATTGTTATATTTCTTTAACCTTATTTTTAATAATCTGGTTATTGAAAAAATCACAATAAGTATTATGAAATATTAATACTTTTATCAGCTAGCATTTTCTATTAATATTACTACTCTTAATAGATGGAAATCTAGATAACGTATGATGCTAAATAACTCTGAAAAAATTTGAAATAATAGAGCAGAGACGAAAACAACTACAACAATTTAAGTTTTAAAATCAAAATAATTGAAAAATCTTAGAAAACAGAATAAAATAAAAGTTAAATAGATAACATAATATTTTTATCTGAATATTTGTAATTTACTATTTTAGCATTCTTTGGTTACTTAATTTATTTTCCAAACTTTCCGGAGGTGTATATTTTGATTTTACCTGGATCTGGAATTATTTCTCATGTAATTAGTGCTTCTGTAGAGAAGCTGGAGCTTTTAATTAGATCAAGTTCAGTCTTCAAAAGTATGCCCTAAATAAACTTAATACTCACCAAGAATATGAGGTGGTGGTGGTCCAGGGGGAGGAATAGGTGTTATGATCAAACCCTGTGGAGGTGGCAATATAGGACGTGGTGGAAGTATAGCAGAAACTGGAGGCATGGGGATAGGAGGAATTGGAGGTAATGGTGGTCGCTGCTGCATTACAGTAACTGTAGGAGTCGCAGTTGTAGGCAATGGAGGTTGCTGAGATTTTGCAGCAGTTGAAGTTGTGGTTGCAGTTGATGTTGTTGCTGGAGGTGATGTAGTTACTTGTGTAGTTGCAGTAGTTGCAGCAGTTGTAGTAGCAGAAGAAACAGTCACCAATTTAACAGGTGGAGCAGAGCTTACTGGTGCTGCTGTAGAAGTAGTTGTTGAGTCTTGTGGCTTAGATGGTCCAATTCTTTCTTTCTCTTCATCAGGACTAAAAAAAAAATAATCATTAAAGATTTTAAAAACTTAAAAAGTAAAATATGAACCCATTATTTCTTGAGAAAAAATGCAGTAACTTCAACTTATTTTAATACAAAGTTAATTGTACACTTTTTACTTCATATATAATATTGTTATGAAATGCCCAGCTGCGGTAAGATAACTTTCCCGTAAAGTGGGTTTAGGGTTGCCAGAAAATGGCAAGGAAAGGCAGGGTTTCCAGATTTGGAATGAAACTGTCCACTTGGCAATATACCATAGATGGAGTGAGAATATTCTAGAATGAATTCTTACCAGTTTACCACAGAATGTTTTCAAAGGCAAGTCAAAAGCTATATAAACCCTGCTTGTAAGTGGAGTAGCAGTGTAGCACGAGTTTTATCTTGAAGAGTATCTTGAGTGAGTTGAACTCCGACAGCCATCGACTGAGTCAGGAGCTGTATTTAGTGTTTTGCCGTAAGGCTGTCTTCACTGTTATAGCCTGAAGGCTGTGTTGCTGATTATTTCAGCATGTTTGTCATAGTTTTTTGACGACTATAAACATGCTTTTGGAACTGTTCTTAGTAACACTGCCTAATAAATTGTGTTTTGATTCTTCATCTAGCGTTGTCATCAATCACTCCAAATCCATGAATTCATAGAACACAACAATATGTTAATTTATTTCTAATAAAGATAAGCCTCAAAGATAAAGAAATATCTGCATTCTTTTCAAAATCTACTTTGGAAAAAAGAGTGCATTTATCAACAGTAACTATAAAAGTACAATAAGTTCACCCATATTTTAACTTGAAATTCAAATTATAATATACGAGCTTTTCTCAATCTAGCATCTCTATATGATCAAACAAATTATTCCGATAATCATTATTCGGCACGTTATTTTAGCCTAAATTATGAGTAAATTATATTTACACATCATTTTTTAGCAAATATGTGTTTCAGGGCAACAAGACTTAAGTCTTTCTTCTTTAAGAGAAAGGGGGTGGAACCGAGGGAGTTTTTACTTTTCTCTTTGGCAGAGGGGGAGAATCCCTGAAAACATTTATGACATACAAAGGCTGCTTTTTTGCTTAATTTAAAATTTTACTGCACTAAAAACTGCTTATCACTGGCAGAATATCTTTTGTTACATACTGATTTTGTGTATAAAAAGTTATGCTAACACACACACACAAAAAGGATTTTTTACTAATAGTTTGGAATTAACTAGTGCATATGTATAAAACTCATTTTAATTATTCAAAAACATCAGTATTTTAAGAATACAAGAAGACTTTCTTTTAAAGAGATCACTGTTTGGTGCATTTGCATAAAAAAAGAAAGACATTATAAATTAACAGTTTTTGTTCTTAAACAAGAATTAAAAGATACATATTCAGAATTTTATTTTTTAATGATACATTAAAATTCTTATTTCTGTTAATCAGACATATGTTAAATGGTCCAAGAAATGTTGAAACTTTACATAAATTATTATATATGTAATAAACTTACAGTAATCCTTTTATCTTATGAATCTGTTGAATCTGCTCTTCAATTGTAATATTAGCTCTGGCAGCTCTCGTAGCAGCTTCCATGCTCGCAGTATGACCATCCCAAGTAACTTTTTCAGGTCGCTTTTTTTCTTCTTCTCCGATCTAAAATATTGAAATATATCTTTGTTATTATTTTAATTTTAATGTAAATGTAATTAAAACTTCTAAGATGGCAACACAGACCAATGATGCCTAATCTTTTACGTGCAATTACTTCTTTTAATAATAATTTCTTTTCTCTTTATTTTGTGCATAATTTGTGGAATAAAATGTAATATGGTAAAACACAAAAATGCAAACTGAGCTTGATAATGACTATCAAAAGGATAGCTTATATTTTTTATAGCAATTACATGAAAACATCAATATCTAAGTCTTTTTTATATATTTTTATTTGATGCTAAACTTTATTAGATATAAATTTTCATAAATTTAGAAAAGAGAGGATAGACATATGTATAATATTAAGGACTACAAATTTTGTAAAGACACATTTGCAGAATAAAATATTTAAACTTGCAAACACTGTTTCACAAAATAAAAGCAAAAACTTTATTCTTAAAACTCATTCTAGAGTTTTATGATCAGGAACGGAAACTAAAATTTATTAAGAATATTTCACATAACTTAGCATTTCAAATGACTTAATTTTGCGTACAGGCATATAGTAAAAAAAGTTCAGCTTATATATGCATTTTGAGGATAGATTTTAAAACTATTTTTCATAATATAAATAATTCAATACCAATAGACTGGAGCCAGTTTAATTACCTTTTTACCAATAGCAGTTTCTTCAACACCAGAGCCAAAAATATCAGTACGTCTTTCAGCAAACTGTTTTAAACTACTTTCAATAGCAGTACCTAAAAAACAGATAAATATTATGAAGAATTTATAGTTAACAAATAATAATGGTCTTTTGTTTTACTAATCTTCAGATACATTTTATGAGCATATTTTTACTTAAACAAACTCATAAAATTTGGCTGTTGCCTTAAGTAAGAGCATATTTCAATATCAACAGAATAAACTAAAAAAAAAAAAACCTAATTTCAGTTCTATGAGCACATAGTTGAAAAATTAACCTAATTTCAGTTCTATGAGCACATAGTTGCAATTTTAAATAAATGAGAAATAGCAGACTCAAAAATAATTAATATATGCATGAAGCTGCATTTATAATATTCTTTATGATTATTAAATATTAATTATTAACTATAATTGATAATTAGTTTCCAATAAATTTAAAACAATTTAACCTGCTAATTTGGAAGTTTTATAATATTTTTAATTGTAATTAATAATTATTTTTTAGTTATAGCATTTGATTAATCAGATTTAGCAAGCTGATGCCAAAATCTGCCTTTAAGACTATCTAAACATGAGGCTCTTAACATCATGTTGATTTGGCCTGTACTGAAGGACAACTAGAAGATTAAAACTGAAAAGGATAAGCACACGTGAAACTGAATTTGAAAGTAAAATCTGGCAAGCTGATTAGTGTACAACAGTATACTGGTGAACTGATTAAGTATCTTTAAGGTTAAATACACCTACAAATGACGTTAAAATGGCAGCACTCAAAATTAAAGAACTACAGCAATCTCGTATTACAAGCAACAGGTTCTTTCACTCAAGAATTACATTTTGGTTCATGTAAAATGTATCTGAGTAATATAAACAGTTTAAAATAGACTGATCTGATTATTTTTATCAGACAATTTTGGATACAGATTTCAAGATTTAAGAAGATGCCATTTCATGCACATCAGAATATTCCGTACACCATTCTAAACAGACATCAAACTCACTTGCAAATATAATGTGTACAGATATTAAAAAACCTTAATATCTGTGACCAGATATTAAGGTTTTTTAAGAGGAGGGGGGGGGAGAGAAGGACAAATAATTAAGTGGATTTTTATAAAGTGCATCTACTTAGAATATTTCAAGTACATTAACAAAATTGTTTCTTTTCAACATCTGATTTTATCTGTGAGCATTTTTTTCTTCTTTTTTTATGAAGTACAGAAAACATAAAACCATAAAAACTTAAGACAAACATCTTGAATTTATTCTTTGCAGTCCCTGCATGTCTATGAAAGTGAACAGAGATAGATGCATTCTCTATTCACTTTCATAGACATGGTGAAATTGGTTGGTCAAAGCTCATATTAATTACGTACAGTCAAAAGTCGTTAATTCGGACACCCATAAATCCGGACCTCAAAGCTACAAACTTTCTGCGCATGCGTCGTGCCCGTAAGACCTTTACGGCTGCGCATATGCGTGTGCGCATAATATGTTTACGCATGCGCGTTTAATGTTTAACGGACGGTGTAAGCTAAAATTATCTAATTATCTATTTCAGTTTATGGTGCAAATTGCTTTGTTTCTTAATCTTCAAATTGGTTCCGGCTTATTATTTTTTGCAGACTGTTAGAGCAATTTTATAAAAGTAAGCTTGAACTTTCGATTATGTCAAATAGAATTTCCAATGCTGGAGCTCCCAAAGGATTTTTAGCGAAAGTATGTTTCGATGTCCATCAAACAAAAAGTGGAATTGCTGCAAAAAATGGATAAAGGCATATCCTTTGTTTCTCTAACCATTCCGAAATCTGTTTATCAATTTCACGCAAATTCCTCCTCATTATAATTCGCTTCCAATAGTGAAGAAAATGACACACAGGTTATTGAAAACAGAAAATTTCGATTGACAAATTAGTCGGTATTCTCGACACAGCAATTATAGGACTTGAACAGCGGAACTTTGTAACTGAACAAGAAATTATGTCTGTTTATAGAATTAAAGAGAAAGTATTATCACATAAAACGAAGCAACTTAAACAACTTACATTGAAAGAAATGTTTAATAAAGTAAACAAATAAATTTAAGCTTTTTTTTTTTTATTGTAAATTTTCATACCCTTTAGATCATAATTGTTCTTTGTTTCATAAATTAAAGTTTCATATTTTTAATTTTTTAATTGTTTCATAAATTAAAGTTTCATATTTTTAATTTTATAATTTCTGCATGCCATCTTACCAGATTTAAGCTGATGATCTATAATCCGGAAAAATCGATAATCAGGAATCACCGATGTCCCGACGAGTATGGATTAATGACTTTTGACTGTATTTGCTTTTTTCTCTAATAGATATCTTTTGATTTAAAGCATGTGATTTTATTGTATATAATAATAATGAAGATATGAATGTTATTATTAAATATTACTTTTGTATGCCTTTAACTATTTTTTTATTAGGAAGAGCAGCCTTTGGCAATCTTGATTGGATCATATAGCCCAGGTACGATATAAGCTGCAACAATATACTCTGACAAAATTTCTTGTAAATGAAGATCACCCTTCTAACTATGACAATGTCTTATGCTGCTCTACTTCAAAGATTGGACAAGAACCAATACTTTCTGCATTCTTCAGCCGTTAACCTGTGAATGCAGTCCTTGGAATACTGCACAGTGATGACATGCCTAGCTGCAGCAAAATATTTGAAAACAGCCATGCAGTAGTGAAACAATATTCCAGCTCAGCAGTTCGAAGCCCATGATAGTTGTTTAAATGGAAATTCAGCACACAAAATGCGTGATCCTTGAAAACTAATAAATTACATGTTATCACTTGTAAGTGATCTTCTGTGGAAATCACGAATCACCATTACATGAAAAATAAATACCAAGAGATTAATTATGCATGTTAGAATGTCAACTAACAAATAAACTCATTAAAAGAACATTTTGAGATTGAAGTTTAGAATTTTTTTTGTCGGACTTCTACTTGTGATGAAATGAGAGGGCACTATTTCATCCTGGAATTGACGTATGCTCACAGAAATAGACGCATTCATCAACTTCCAAAAAATTTTAAGGGTTGCAGGCAAACTCATACTTCATGCTTTCAAGGAACAAAATTGGAACTACTTGCATCGATTTCATACTTTGTAGTGCCAGCATCAAAAGTGACTACTATAGCCAAGTTCTCAAAATATGTATAACACTTATGTTCACTCATGTATTGTTAGCCGTCAATTGAACTTACAGGAAGTAAAATTAAAGACAAAAAATATTTGAATCTTGTAAGTCTACAAAAAATATTTCAAATATTCTTATGCATCTTCTGTAAAAAATTTATTTGAAAACTTTATTTTTCTGGAAAATTTCTGGAGATTTTTTTTTTTTTTTTTTTTTTTGTATGAAAACTAAATAATTTTATTACCATACCTTTAGAAAAATAAAGATTCACTTAACTTGTGCATAGACTACCTTTACAATTATTGATGTTACATTCAATAAAAATACAAATTCACATACCTTGTGCATAGACTTCCTCTTGGGTCATCTTTTCTTGTACTGCTCTATCTCTTTGTTCAACCCAACGAGGATCCAACAAACCTTAAAAGGGAGGAAATATTAAGAATTAATAGTTAAGGAACTGTTCATGTCATTGCAGCCATAAATATAGATATATGTAAATGAAAAGAGAAACAAAGTGAAATTTACAATTGGTATAGAAACAAAATTACATCTAGCATAGATTTAGACAAGAAACTCAGTCATTTTGAGGGCAAACAGGTCTCTCTTCCTCCTTCCTCAAGAGCAAAGAAATTTGCAAGACAGTCTTTTAAATTTCTTTGCTTATGATAAAAAGAGACCTATTTGCCCTCGAAATTGATTTTCTTGTCTAAATCTATGACAAATACAAGGTTGTTTCTTTACTAATTTTAAGTATAAGATACATGTGTTGAGAACTAGAAGATTAATTTTTGCTTTAGAAGAAACAATGTAAATGAAAAGAGATACATACCTATTCTCATATGTTCTTGCATTTTATCAGCCGGAATTCTTTCACCAGTAATAGGTGAAATTAAGAATTGTTCACTTACAGGTTGTGGAGGTTTAACCACTAGAAAAGGGAGAGAAGGTAAAACATAAATAACATAAATATAATGCCATACTATTTTATTAATTAAAAAAAATCATCACAAAAGGCTTATTGTAAATAGAATGATAAAAATATATACTATAAAACTAAAATTGAAAAGAACAAACAACTCATGTATACTAATGAATCAAACATGGTGGCTGTTTATGGAATATACTGTTCTTCCATATATTGGTAAAAACTTGAAAGATCTTGAAAGTATGTCTTGTGACAATGCAGTACACTATAGTCTGTTACTTTAGAATAACCACTTCAGGGTCATTTTGCCCTGCCCAGCTTGCCTCATAACCATGATAGCAACAGCTACAGCTGATGGTTGAGTCTATTAATTCCTCTTCCCTTGATTTGTTTCTATTTAACAGAAAGTGAATGATTTTATCTATATAAGCTTAAACCAGATGGAAAGCATAAGTGCCAAGACGTTACAATTGCAAACAATGGGAAGGACTCCTGGAAACACCCATTTTAAAGTAGTTGTTTATAGCAGACATCTTAAATTCTGTAAATAATAAGATACAGCCTTCAGCTTTATTGCTTCACAAAAGCTTGACTAGATTGAAAAATGCCAATTTCACAGACTACAGCAATCACAAGTTCTCCATGGCAAAGCAGATACATATTCATATACAGTACAAAGTCCGTAATCCAGACGTCCGTTATCCGGAATGATCTATAATCCAGACCTCAAAGCCACAAACTTACGCATGCGCGTAAAGCATTTACCCATGCACACTTCCAAGAGTGAAGAAAGTGACAGAACAGTATTTCGATTGATAAGTTAGTCGGTATTCTCGATACAGCAATTACAGGACTTGAACAGTGGAACTTTGTAACTGAACAAGAAATTATGCCTGCTTATAGAATTAAAGAGAGAGTGTTAGCACAAAAAAATGAAGCAACTTAAACAACTTACATTGAAAGAAATGTTAAATAAAGTAAACAAATAAATATTAGCTTTTTTTTTTTTTTTTTTTTTTTTTTGTAAATTTTGATACTTTTTAGATCATAATTGCTCTTTATTTCATAAATTACGGTTTCATATTTTTAATTGTATAATTTTTGCATGTCCTCTTACTATATCTAAATTGATGATCTATTCTCTGGAAAAACCCCTAATCCGGAATCACCGAAGTCCCGATGAGTTCGGATTACGGACTTTGCAATGTAGAACAATTTTCTTTCATCCAATGTATAGACTAGGGTTGACCAAACTTCATGACAGTAGAAGTTACAAAGGAAATGTTAAAAGAATTAATATGCTCAAACAGAGAAATTTTTACCCATCCAATTTAGATACCATAGGTAGCCAAACTTCATGACGGCAGGAGAAGTTACGAGGAAAATGTTAAAATTCAGGGAAAGTTCCAACAGTTGCTGCTAGATTTTTTAAAAGCAGCAGATCTACATTCAGATTATTTTCACAGCAGAGATAAAAGTTTCAAGTGGAGAAAAATGCTTAAAGTGAATTGATGGGAATTTTGCTTTTTTTAATGTGATTAATGTGAGTAAATACAAAATTTCACCTATTTTATATTTTTAAAAATGTTAAGTTTCAAAGAAACACAAATTTGAAAGTATTGTACGATACACATGAACATTCTTTTTTTAAATAGAAAAACAAATATTTTCTACCGCTTTCCTTTCTTATCCTCTCATTAATTAAAATCTTTTAGAAAAAATAAACTGAAATCAGAAGAATATTATGGTCTTTACAAGCACAGTAATGTAAAAAGTTATTTATTTAAGAGCACTAATTCAAAAAATAGATCCAATGGCTTTGTTTTATTTATTATTAACTTTTAATTCATATGTGCATGTTTAGAAAGAAGAAAATAAGAGAGATCAGACAGCAGTCCAACCATTGTAGAGAAAATGTTATTCAAGGGGGAAAATATTTTAAAATAAGTTGCTAACTTTTTAAGGCTTTTGGCACAATAAGTGATAATAATATACTTCCTCCCAAAAATTAATATGTAGACATATATTCTAATAACAAAACTAGCTTTAAATCCTTAAATTAAATGCATTTACAGAGCCTATGGATGGGACATCTAAAGCTTCAAAAAGATATGAATTTCCAAAACTCTTAGCTCTTTTTTCATCATTAGAATCTTAGGATATCTTTAAACATCTTAATTAAAAACTTTAGAAAAATTAGTTTTACTGACACTAATAGAACTGTTCATTAAAAGAAAGAATATTATTGTTGCAATTTCAGAGGCAACTGAATTGCCAATATCATTTCTGATGACAGTCCTGAGTGTTGCTTTTTTTCAGCTGGCATCCAGTGAAATTTATCAAAATTTTTAAATAATCAGCTGTGCTTTCGCAGAAATTCTAGAATGTAACTCAAATCATCTCAATAATTCAGGATATAAATAATCTATTACTAGCACATCCTAAATATTTCTAGTAACTTGCACCAAAGTACATAAATGTGTCTCACACAATTCCAGCTGTCTGCCATTTGGACATGGTTGTTGTATTCTGAACTTATTACATGAAATATAAACCTGCTTCTCAAATACATCCGTCAGATTACACAGCAAAAAAGAATCTCAAAATTAAAAAAATTAAGTCTTTCATTTAAATTTTACTAAGAAAGATAGACATATTTCTAAAAACAGCTCTTAAATTTTTTTCCATTAAATGAGATTTTTAATTTAATTTTATTTAAAACCCCTTAATATTAAAAGTTTTCCCCCTTTCTTCATATTATTTTCATTTGAAGATTTGAGAGATTACACTATTATTTAAGATCTGAGAAACAATAAGGATTTGAGTTTAAAAACAATCCCGAGTAGTTTCCAATACAAGTTAAAATCTCCGCATTTCCATTGTCGTTCAGATTTGAGACACATCATTGTGGTACAGTGGAACCTTAAGATACGAGCACCTCTATATACGAGAAATTTGAGATACGAGGACAGTACGAGTGAAAAATTTGTCTTTAAATATGAGCATTGACTCGAGTAATGAGCTATGTTGTTGGTATGCGTGAGGCATTTCCCAATCCGGCTCAATTCGGGGTATCCCTTTGTCAGATCACTGACCGTTCTTTGATCTACGTGTTTGTGTGCTTATGAGTTAATTGATTTTAGCATTTAACATGAAAATAATTATTTTGCAATGCCTCCCAAGAAGATTGTTGGCTCAAATAGTATCTCAAAGAAAATGAAGAAAGCCACGGCCATTGAAAGTAACAAAAAATCATAGATAAAACATAAGCATGGTGTAAATGTGATGGAATTTGGGAAGACTTACGGTCATTCGACATTGATGATCTGCACTATTCTGAAGAAGAAAGAAGTTAAAACTTGATGTGGCTAAGGGAGTTACCATTACTCCCAAGCACTGTCTAAAAATCCCAGAAGCTGTTGTTGGTGTAGATTAACGAGAAGCAGTTAAAAGGCGATTTGGTGTCAGAAGCTATCATTTGCACTAAGGCTAAGAATCTCCACTTAGAGCTTCTCCAAAAAACACCAGGTATTGTTTACCAGCATTATTTTTTAGGAAAATTGATTTATATTTTGATATTTTTGGGGATGTGGAATAGATCAACTGGATTTCAATTTTTTCAGGAGGGGGGGGGGAGTTTGTTTCTAGAACTTGGATTTCGAGGCTCCACAATACCATAATGAATAAGGGTGCGGCAATACCAAAGCTTAAGGTCATATGTCATTTAAAAAATAAGACATAAAGTAATAGTACTGCAAAGCATCAGCATGAAATTTATACACAATACCAACTTCATTATGAAAACACAGCTTCATTAGCTGTATGTAAGAAAAAATCACAACAGATGAAATGATCAATCACACAAAGGAGGATTTGCAGTCATACAAAGAAGATGTATTTAGATAAATATCTGAAATCAAGCCTTCACTAATTATGGGAGAATTAATATAAAATATTGCATTGTTGATGTTATAATTTGGATGCCGATGGTACTGATTTTATTCTGGAGTCTACTTCAAAGCATAAGAAACTATCTTCATGTGTTAATATCACTAATGATCGAAAGACACTTTTAAGATTGACAATATCTAGTATCTAGTATAATTAATTATATAGCATTAACAAATGTTACATATTAATTGAAGAATGAAGCTATCTGCTGTCTATACATAATGTATAATTTTTTTTGTAGTTCCATTTTGCTTTCTCTTTTATGTAGTACTCATAAACTACATTATATTTTTTAGTATTTCACAGTGCATTGCATGAAGTACATGGTGATCATAGCAGAGTCTATGTTGAAAAATAAGTCAGGCATGCACATGCTGATGACTGAAGGACAGAAAAGCTAGAAACATCAACAGATGAAGCAAGTGTGACACTTTGTGGAGTAGAAAGGAAAAAGCCCATTGAATACGAAACAAATATTACAAGCTACAGTGAATTCATGAGCATCAGCATTTTGACTAAAGTATTACAGAAAAATAAAATGTATGCCTGATAAAACTCTTGCTGCTTGATGCAGTGTTACTGAAATGAAGATCTGATGATAAAAGTGAAAGGTTTTGGCCTTGAATAACTGTTGGTGAAATGTGGATCAGAAACTTTGAATCAGAATAGAAATCATAGTTGACCCAGTAAAGAAGTTCATCCACTTGGTGACTAAAAAAAATTTGACAAGTGCAATCACAGTTGAATTAATGATGATCTCTGACTAGGATTACAAAGCTTCAAACAATACAGAAAATAATGGTTACTTGTGGAAAAGTGTGACAATAGTATGTTACTAAGAGTGGTTGAAAAATCTATAGTGAAAAATGTTTGAAAAGCAACCCAGTTTGCTTAGGGGTGGAAAGTTTTACCTCATCAAACTTCTTCCAAGTGAAATAGCTCCTGCATAGACAGTGCTTTTCCTTTCAGAAGGAAGTTACTCAGTGGTTACTCAAGACAGTGGTCTCAAAACAGCAGCTCATATCTGGCACTTGAAGCAATTTTACAAGGCCAGCAAACCCATTCCAGTTATCTAGTTGTTAATACAGCAGTTTTAGAGACAGCTACAGAATGAGTTTATTTGAATGATATGGAATAAAAATAGATTACTTGAACATGGCAAAGCACATAAAGACTATCTGCGTAAGGGAAAGGATGCAAGTGGAGGACTTTTTAAGGGAAATAGGCTCATATCTATGTTAAGTATGGAGCCATGGTCAAACTTTTAACATTCAGTGGTGCTAACTACTCGGCCATTGATAAGGTCAAGATAACTAGGAAGTTACGTACTTTTGCGATGTTGTGTGTAATAACGCTGTTTCATTTGTAATAAGGAATATCAATTCCAAAAGAATACAATTTATCTAGCCATTACAAAAAGAATCACTAAAAAAAGTCTGAAATGTTTGAAGGTAAACTGGGGGAAGAAAAGTTACAATTTCTGACACTTGCTTTATTGTGACAACAAAATTTGGTACTTTTCCATTTCGCTGGCGCAAATCTCGCCAAGCAGACTTTATTGGCGACAACATACAGTATACACATAAAAAATGTTAGTTCTTAAGAATTTTTTATTTTAAAAACATAAGCATTTTAATATTGTTTACAATTTTGTGTAAAGCCACATAAAGACAATAAATTTGTAAAAAGACATTCATTTGAGAATTTACTATGCTTTTATGGTTCAACATCCTGATTCGCCGGTTATATCACGTAAACTACGCTATAAAAATCTAATTCTCTCAGTAATTATGTACATTAACTTCAAGTTACATCTTAATTTGCAATACAAGTTTAACTGCAAGAATTATTTGAATCCGTACAAATAGCTTACTAAGAAGTTATGTAAAACTGCAGTGCTTCACTTCGCTAGTGCATTCTCATTAGAATTGATGAATTTAACCCTTGACATTGCCTTTTCTATATTTTTGCCATCAGGGTGATTGCATCCTAATTGACTTAATTACTGCGAATGGTCTTAGGGCATAAAATTGAACTATCTGGTTAAAATTCTATGTAATTGTATGCCAGTATTGAAAGAAAGAATCAATCTGATAAGAAATGGCTGCGACTTGTTTTGAAAATGAAGCGTTAAAGGTTACGAGTGAGGATATTCCGTTTGGCATCGGTTGTACCATTATTGGCGACTTTATCGCTTGCGCCGGCAAAACAGAAAAGTACCCAAAATTTTTTACTGAAACAAATAAATTCGGTGAAGCAATAATTCATGCAAATTTGGCTCTTGCACACACCATTGTAAAAAAATTAAAATCATTTACTGATGGTGAATTCCTTCAAGATTGATTAAATCTGCTGAACTTTTTCCTGATAAAAAAACAATTATTTAAACGTATTATTTTTTCAGCCAACAAGGTAGCAGAATGTATTAATGAAATCACTAGAGATTAATGATGTCAAATGGTATGGATTTTGCAGCATTAACAATAGCATTTGATGAGAGTAATGACATCAGAGACATAATAGCACAACTTGTCATTTACCTGTGAGATGTTACTGATGAATTCTAAAAAGTTGAGGAATTGCTGGAAACAATTTCTATGAAAGGAAAAAACTGGTGCTTGGGATATTTCTTTTGAAATAATAACACTTTTGGACATAAAAATTACACTGGTATAAAATGATTGGATTTGTAAATAATGTTATGGTTGGTTAAAAAAAAAAAAAAGGAAGGAGGAGAAAAATTTTAGAATAAAATTTTTTTGACACTATACAACTGTATTATTTATCAAGCACTCTGTGATAGAAATTTGCAAATGGATATATTATGAAAATAGTAAATAAAACAGTAAAACTTCCACCTTGTGCAAGCTCCGATTCATTGAGAATTTGTTGTATTGTTTGAAGAAAGTGAAAGTGGATAAGAAGAAATGATTTAGGATAAGGAAGTGAGGTAGTTAAGAAGCTTATTAAAACAGTTTCTTGATTTAATAAATGAAAGTCAGGCATTTGGCTTGAACAATTTGAGACCACTGAATTAAGCCATACGAGAATTTAATAAAAGTAATAGTCTTTGAAAGCTCAAGTTGTATCAATTATCAAGTTGTATCAGCTTAAGTTGTACATTAAGGCTTCTGAAACACTGCATTGTGGCTATAGAAAAGCATGGGGACTATATAGAGAGATTTTAAAGAACAATCCTTGAAATAAAGTAAACTCAAATGAAAAAAACAAAATAACATTACTTTTTAAGTGACCATTGTATTTGTTTCTTATGCTATCTAAAGAGTCATTATCTGATCTAAATGTTGCATAATAATAAATCACAAAAACAGAAATATTTGCCATTTTTTCTGTCACCGAAGAATAGTTGACTGTTTGAAATCTATTACATTATTCACACATATTGCACATTGTTTGATTATCAGTATGCAACACATATGAGTTGCATTTAAGGGACCAAACAGCCACATGCTATTTGCACGCCACAGTTTGCCATGCTTGGTATAGACCCCACGTTTCTTAAAAAAGCCCTGTTCAAAGTAAAATACTATTTCTATCAATTCCCCGAGGTGTATCTTTGTGCAGTCTCTACTTAAATACACATCTATGCAGTCATTCATAAGATGTAGCAGCAAAATGGATAATTCTTCAAGCCAAAGTTCTGTTTTGAATGCTTACATATGTCTATAAGACACTTTTAATTGTAAGGAGCTACCATAAACATGAGAATGTTATTAGAAGCATGAAGTATTACTTCCACTTTTGTTTAAGGAAATATTGCAATATTTTAACAAACACAGCCTATATATTATCCATAATTTATTATAATCAAAATTTCCAACACTATTTTGCATATGGCAATAAACTGCAAAATGGAAATCTATCTATTAGACTCAATATATTGTCTTTAGCTAATTTTTATCTATGCAGAAGGTAGCATTTTCTCCTTTACCTTAACATATGCTGAAACATAAATGCTAAATGATGATCCTTGAATCACATAACTTATTTTTGTTCTAACAGTGACAAATATTTTTTTAAGAATCCTGAAAAATTTTAAACATTCTGAAAATGGAATTTAATATCTCAAGGATTTTCCAAGGATTTTTTTGGTGTGTAAGAGACAAATTTGGAAAGCCTCTTCAATTATGCTTATCATATTGACTACTAAAATTTTCAGATGGAAAAGATTTCAGAGGGAAAAAAAAAAAATTGCCAAATTTGAGGCAAGATCCAAAGGAAATATACTAATACTACACAAAGCTGAATCTTGGATATTTTATAATGATTACAAAAAACATACAGGTGACTAATTCAGAAATGCATATTATCAATATATGCAGCAATGTGATAATAATACACAACCATCTTTCATCAAAAACACAATTCAGTTTTCAGTCATTTAAGTTTATAAACCACCAACTTTAGATAATTGTATGTCTAAAGTAAAAAGTTCATTCAAAATTTTTTACACATTTTAAGACTTATTAATCTGGTAAAAATTATAATAAAAATTAAAAACTATGCAAATAAAATGCAGTAAACTTATATTACAGCAATCTATTTGAAAGTTATAGTACTAAATCTTGATACTTTGCAATTCAACAACATAAAATTTTTGATCAAATATTTCAGAAATTTTATTTAGCACATATAAAACATTAACAAACAAACTTTATTGCATTGATGCTCTATTTACTTATGATATGAAAATTGATTTCCTATGTAATTTAAAAATATGTATTACCTTTAGGATTGTAATCTTTACGGATAACCACCTGATCTGGTTGAGGAGGAAGAGGAGGAGGTAATGGAGGAGCTTCCTTAGGTGGCAAAGGTGGAGGACTTGCTCGTCTTTTATCTTCCTCTTCATCTGATGAAGAAGAACTTTCTTCATCTGCCTAAATTATATAAGAAAGATTTAAAATGCCCTAACTTATAAAATTTATAAAATGCAGTATTTAATATCTTAGCATAACATACTTTAGCACCACCGGCTTTTTCAGCAGTGTCCTTATCACTGCCTTCTTCATCTGATTCTACTTCCATTTCTACTTCTTCGACCTATAAAAAAAGTTCAACAATATAAAAAATCTAAAAGTTAATGCAATTACAGTTGTTAAAATAATTTTAGTTTTCTACAAATTGACAAAACTGAAGTCTGAGAATCTCATGACATCTGAGAATTTATTCATAATAATGATTATTAGACAACTTGGAAAAAAATACTCTAAGTCCTTTGTAAGTAAAATAATTATATTATCACTTCACAAAAGAATAATCTAAATTTATATCTGTTTTAAACATCAATAATCACATTTGCTTTAAAGACTATGCATATATTTTCTCTTTTTGGCTCTTTTCATAAATAAATCACAACATTCAGCACATAATCTGTTCTTTCACCTCATTTTAATACATTTTGTACACATAAAGGTAGACTTACTTCATTTTACAGTCAGCACACATAAAGTGCATTAACTTAGACAAATACTTACAAGTGACATATATAAATGCTATCTATATTTTTTGGAGATGACCAAATTTGAAAACTGAAGAAGAAGGTGCTTGCATTATAAGAAGCTCTAACTATAAATAGTGATTTTGCCATTAATCTGAAGAACCGACTGGGCATTATGCTTGCACTACAAGTTAGACAGCTCTGCAATGTTTCCAGCAGAGAAAATCTAAAATCTAGAACTCATCAATCTAGATTAAAATTATGAATGTATGTATATGCGAGGTTCCAACCTTTTATCTAACAGCTAAGTGTGTAGAAACCTCATGAACACTTAAGCGAATAATCGCTTTATGTCAGAAACAGATATGTAAAACTCATGAAGGGTTAATTACCCTTTATTTCTCAAAACAGAAATTTAACAGATGGTCCCTTTCTCAGGATGTACAGGAAAGCCTCCACTTGGGCTTGAACTCAAAGTAATTAGAAATAAAACTTAACTAAAAAGATATAGCCAGAGCTATCAAGATTTCTAAGTAGTTGGACCCTAAATATCAACTAAGCTGGCGAAGCTATCAAGAACCTGAGATAAGGCCGAGCGTAGTAATAGCTTAGACAGAGTGCAGCCAAAAGGCAAACGTGCACTAATCAGATCTCTGGCTTTCTAACGAAGTCGGTGGAACTTTGACTTAAATAATGATCTTAACTGCATTAACCATGATTCTAAATAAACATTCTGGTAGGAAATTGTACGCTGAAATTAGGAAGGACAGGAAAGTAGCTTTAACAAAAGATAACTGTTAAAAACTTAGGATACACCTTACATATATACTTCAATATTATTAAATAATTTATATAATTAATCAAAATTCACTAATAAAACATAGTGGATTTTAAGCACATTTTCATCAGGTCAAGAAAACGTGTATAATATGAAATTAATAGTTTGAAATTTTGCTCTTCAAATCCTTTGTAAGAGCAGTACTAAAATAATAACACATGAAAGATATGCAACTGATTAGAAATTTAAATTACCCCTTGTTCTTCAATTCGCTGTTGGTGCAAGACTCGACTACCAACTTCATCAGGATTGGTGGGTGGAGGGAATAGACCTAATAAAGAAATAAAAAAGTTACACATAAAACAATTTCTATTTCTTAATTGATTTATAGTAAAATTGCGGTACTCTTCTGTTATCGGGACCGGATTCAGAAATGTATGTACATATGCATTTATGTGTTCATGAATGCATGGATATATGTATGTGTGCGTATACACACACATATGCATACACATGGGCATACTTACATAGATTTCTGAATCTGGTCCCAATAAGAGAAGAGCACCAGAATTACATACCAAGTTATAAATAATCAAGTACCTTGTTCATTAGGCTGATAATCAACAGTTTCCACTACTACAAAGTCATGCCAATCAATCTGGGCATATTGAACTAAAAAAGAAAAGAAATACTTTATGTATCAATATTTATAATACAAAATCGACTTTATAATATAATGACAGAATGACTATCTAAATATGATTTTATACATTCAAATTATTATATAATGCAATTTGAATTTAGTTTATCACCGATCTACCTGATGCATGTACAATACAATACACTAGAATGGCTGCACTTAGCAATTTTTAAAACACAAACTATAGATAATACAATAAAATGTAGGGTAGTAATCTGATCATCGAACAGGATTGCCATTCAAACAGCAGAATGAAATTCCCCTACTTTCCACACGTGTTTCAAGAAAATTCCAGGCTATCCATGTAGTGCACGTTGGCTGTGCTGAGAATCCTCAAAGCATTACTTTCATAACTAAAATAGGAGCTGTTTTCTCCACTGAGGATTGAGATTAGAAATCTGCCCAATCGGGATTTAAAAATGTCTTTTCTGCATACATTTTGCAATTAAAGGAAGAAAGAAATCTATTTAATGATATTTTAAAATAAATTCAAGTGATTTTTAATTTAGCAAACTACATAAGTAAAAAATATTTGCACTAAATTTCGTGATGGTACGTCACATTACTGCTAGAATTAGTTTCATAAGTGTGCTAGAGAAAATTTCCTGAAATTTGAAAGCAATAACTAATAATAAATAAATTTAGAAGAAAGAAGATGCATTAAATGATACGAAAAACGTTAAAATAAAGTTAATTACTTAAAGATTAAAAACTGAATTTAAAAAATTTATAGCATTTTGGCGAATACAGATATACTGGATTAGCCTAGATGATCGATTATTATCTTTTTATTTTACTGCAAAATGACACATAAGGCATTTAAGAAGGAAGAAAAGGTTTAAAAGATTTTGTTTTATACGACAATCAGGAGAATTTATTTTCCTTCAACAAGCACTGCATATATGTTCATGTGAATTACTAGATTCTTGAGGTTACTGGAAATCAAAGATGTCAGAGCAAAAACTGCTTTTTTGGGAATTACAGGATGAAATTCCCAAACGTTTTTGGTAAATTTTCGAATTCCCTGACTTTTCCTGGTAGAGTGGCAACCCTGGTAGAACAACTGACTGAAACTAACAGAGCAGATATCTACTAATCAGAAAATTCGACAAAGATTTTTCCAAAATTTCCATTCACATTTTAAAAGTCTATCAGATACAAAATAATAATATATATAACTAGTGATCATTAAACTGCTGGCCATCCAAAATGCAAAACCATGATGGAAGCATCCAAACAGCATGAAACATCATGTGTATACCGCATAGAATATGCAAATGATGATGATTTCAGCACACTCACACATCACGCGAAACTGCATTGCTGCTTACAATTCATATTTAAAAGAGGAAAGACTGCAATTTAGAATAATGTGAATTATTCTCTTGTGAGAATTTTTGTATGTGCAGCTTCAGTATGCCTCATAGAAAAACACAAGCATCATTCGAGCACGTTTCCGAGCTTCACCGAGACGGAATCATTGTATACAGAGATTGTGGATTATCCTTCCAGGAAATAGGTCGTCATGTCGAACATAGCCAAGCAACAACCAGACAAATATGGTATCGGCAGAAGCAGAAGGGAACAATTGATGGACAGGAAAAACTGCAACCACCTCTTCAAGGGAAGACAGGTACTTCCGTACACAACTAATAAGAATTATCAGTACACTTTTAATAGTAGCCAATGGCATATCCCTTAGGTTCTATAGCCTTTTTACCTTCAAAGGCTTGCATGTGGCCACATTTCAACACATTTTGGAATGCATTCTTTCAATAATCAAGATCTGGATGATAAAACACTTAAAAATGGAAGTGTACTTAATAAAAATCAACTTAAAAAAGTTCAGAATAGCATATTAAAAATATTCTTCTCCAACTAAATCTTATAATCTAAAAATGTTTATATTCTTCTCCAACTAAATCTTATAATCTAAAAATGTTTATCATGCATATGATTATCAGTTTTGATGTTCAATACATAACTAAATTAAAAAAATCTTAAAATCATGAGGAATTCAAAATACTGCAATCAACACCACACAACCAGCAAATTGTAGGAATACACTGGTGACAGAAAAATACACTGCATACTGACAAAGTAGGATTTTGAAATCAGTTTAGATATCCCTCTGGAAGGGGGAAGGAACCTCAAAGATCGCAAGATAAGTAAAGTGATCAAAGATAATAATATTCACACTTTCATTAGCTAATTTCTTTCTTTCCACTTTTCATTAATAACCACAGTAACTGCTTTGGTCTCTCAGTAGAGCCATAAAAAGATCTAGCAGTTCACTACACACATGGCTGTTGATTATATATTGTTTGTTCTGCCTTAAATTTATTGCTTTCTATCAAAAATTTTTAATTTTTATTAATTTTTAGTTCAGTAATAAAAAATAAACAAAATATATATATATTTTTTTCTTAAATCTGAAAATTTTCAGATTTTATATTACGTCAAAGGTTTTTTTAAATCTTTTTGTGTGTTAATGCTGTCGCACTTAAATCATAAAATTTAATCAACAGCAATATCACAAAATAATTTTAAAAGAGCATATCTTTAGAATTTCCAATACACAGTCTCGCATGCTGGAGATGAAAAGTCCCCCCCCCCGTACAGTGATGCCATTGTTCACTTTGAAATCGTTGAGTTTGTTAATGAAAAATTCATTAAAGCTTTACAAAATATGAAATACATAATAAAACAAATTCCAAATTTCAAACGCGGGCTTCCGGATGCCCATATTGGATTGGAGGACTACATTATTCAAAATTTGATGGCTCTAGGTACCATTGTTTTATCACAATGCAAGAAACATACATGCATTCATGCAGATTCTTTATTATTTAATTTCTTTAAATATAATACAAGGCAATAATATTTGGTGGCAACAATTTTAAAAAAGATACACCCTTTTAAAAATTTCAATGCAAAATGAAATTAATAGCCCTTCTGGGTTAAAAAAACTTTATATTGAATTTTAGAAATAGCAAGTTTTCAGTTCCAGATGGGAAAAAGTTAAGCAACTATTAAATAAGAAATGAATGCCATTAGTAACTTTTCAATGAAGACAAAAAATGATGATAATTAAAACCAGAGAAACAACAATATGTTCATTCAGTGAAAGAGGCTGCACCTACAAAATGCAGCCTTTTAATTTTTATAGGCAGTTATGGAACAAAAGATGACCTTCCTGCAATTTTAGCTTGTAATTCATTTTTTTAAATTGCATTCTCTGAATGATAAAAAATACTTAATAAGATAACATAAAATTTAACACCATAAACAAATATTACAATAATAGGTTAAACCTCTGGATTTAAGAAGAAATGAAGGTAGGTGGGGTTCCCATTATTTCAGCATTTTTTTAGCCTCAAATATAAATCAAAGTGCAAAACAAGAGTTAATTACCTTCTCAAAAAATATTAACAAAAAACTTTGATTAAACTGAAAATATATATTAGAAATAAACAAATAAAACAATCATTACAATAAACTGTAGTTTTTTAGGAAGTATGTATGCATTTTTCTTATTTTAAGGGTCATTATACATAACTCCTTCCATTCTTGATATTTGGAGTCCAAAAAATGCCCCTGGCCAGCAAAATAATAAAAAAAAAAAATTAAATTGACTTTTTTAATAGGTAACAAGTTAGTTCAGGCCATGCTTTAGTTTTAAAACAATTTAAATTACCTCTTTCCCTTTCAGCTTCCTCTTCTTCCCGTCTTTTTATTGCTTCTTGTTGACGAGTCCATTCGACTCTGTATCGAACTTGATCTAAAACCTAAAATCAATTTCATGACATCGAAAAGGAGAAAAAAATCAATTTCAGTCAAATGGTAATTTACTTTTTAAAGATATTCTGCTACTTTTTCTTTTTTACATAAAAACAGTCCAGATTTTTAGGTTAAAAAATATATAAATATTTTATGTTTAAATAAAAAAGTAACAAACATTCAAGCCTTCAAATCTGGAAATTTTAAGAATTAAATGATAACAAGATATATAAAACATTACTGTATGTGCATATTTTCAATATTCTGACTGGCATACTAACCAAGTTTTCTGAGATATTATTTTCTTAAATCTCCAGAGTTTTTCATATATGAATTTTTTCACAACATATAACAAAATTAACAACTTCATAAATTTTTGTATGAAGGTCTAATGGCGTTTTAGTTCACACCTCAAAAGGGAATACAAAGAATTTATAGCATAAGAAAGGACTTTTCTTCACAGATTTATCAGGTATTTTGCCATTTACTATTTTACAAATACCAAAATTCATTTAAGCTTAAGAAATCATAATAATTAACAGAATGCTGCACTTTACTAGTTTTATACTTTCAGATATGAATGGCTAACATACAATAAATTTAATTCTGTAATTAATCTGTAATTAATCTTCATAATTCTGACAATCAGATAGACACATGCATCTTAAAAAAATAAGTTAAAAATAAGGATTTTACTAATGCATATCTCATCTAACAACAAAATGCCTTATTGATTTTAGAACTTACAGCTTTAGGTGAATCTGATTCCTTCTTGAGCTTGGTCATCAGATCCTTGGGAGGGATCAATATCTAGAAGGGAATTATTAATAAATAAATAAATAAATAAAAATTTAAGAAAAGAAAAACAGTTTTCAAAAGTTACAAGACTAGAAAAATTACAATTTGAACATATAATCACAAATTGTTACAGAGCAATCTTATCTCTACCCAAAAACAGGAAACAGAGACTATAAAGGTACATTTTAATCACAAATATAAAACTTAACAACTACAATATATGTAACTTATTTTTAGGATATTAATTGTACTTAATATAGTGTTACGAATTTTGTATTTATTTAGCTATTTTCAGTAGAATTTGTAGTTAAAATTATTTTATATTCCCGTGCAATGCAGCAAGAAACCTATTTGAAGAAAAAGTTATGCTGCAAAAATTAAAATACAGGAGCATGTGCATTTAAATTTTAATAAACAGATATTCTGTAATTGTACTCTTTTGCTATCCAGAAAATCAAGAAAATACCAGAATGTTTTCATACAGGATTAAAAAGCTTATAAAAGCTGAAGGAAACATCTCAATTCAGTTGTTTACTTAGTGCTGTTATTGATTGTAGCAAATTCGGGTGAGGAGTTCTATTCCACGTTTTAGTAGTTTTAAACTATTGTGAGATATTGCAATATTGTATGAATATCTCTGAGGAAATTTCAGGATTGATAAGAATAAATTTTATTCACTTTTCATCGATTATGAAATCGTACGCGCGCAACACTTTTGGTGTCAGGGGTGGGATTTGAATGCCAATAACAAGAGGGATAGAAGAAGAAATAAGGCGACTCGTCACTGCTCTTGCTGCATTCCAAGAAAAGATGAAAGCTGTCCAAGCATCCTTTAAAGAAGAGATTAAAGCGGGACAAGGTTTATTTAAAGTAGAGATGAAAGTTCTTCAAGAAAAGATAGAAACTGGTCAAGTTACTCTTAAAAGCAGAAATGAAAGCTGTTCAAGAAAAGATGGAAGCCGGTGATGTATCTGTTAAACAAGAAATGAAAGCTGTTCAGGAATCTGTTAAAGTAGAAATGAAGGCTGTTTAAGAAAGGATTGAAGCAGGTTAAGAGGAAATTACCTGCATAATAGAAAACAAATTTTAGACTATGGAAGGCAGAACTGATGCTGTTGAAAATAAAGTTGGTCACATTGAAAAAAGAGTTTCTTCTGTAAAAGAACAAATAGAAGAAAGAGTTTATTTTGTGAAAAAGCATAGAAGAGAGAGTTTTGGCCTTGGAACAACAAATAGGTTACAGAGTTTCTTCTATCAAAGAAGAAATTGAAGGAAGAGTTGGAGCAGCTCAACAACAAATTGATGACAGGGTTTCTTCGATGGCCAAGGAAGTTGATGCGTTAAAGAAATCCATAGTGACGCGGCGGCAGAGAGCAATTCTGGTGGTTTTAAATTTTTAACCATGCCTGCTTGTCCCTCCCTGAAACTATCCACATATGATGGGAAGAATTCCTGGCAAGTGTATATGGCAGAAGCGAACGAATGGGATTCCCAAACTAAGGACTTTCTAAGGAAATACAATTTTTCCTTGGACTTTAAAAATAGCAAACTGCATTATGCCTATGATGACATAGCCCTATTAGAAATTAATGATGAAGGAGTGAAATCTATCCACAAAATATAGCTCAAGACGATATCACAGTACACAAAGGAGCAGAGTTTTTACTACCTGCATCCATAGCCGAAAACAGCAATTTCCGCTATGGCATCATAGAATATCCCAAGAACTGTAATAGCCCGAAAAGAGTACTAGTAGCCTCAGCACTTGTTGACCTATCGCAAACAATTATCCTGGTAAGAGTTGACAAAAGGCGAGTTATTAAAAAAGGGTTAAGTGGTTGCAGTATGTCATCCAGTGACCAGCATTAAACGAAACATTCCAGAATCTGTGTCTTCAGAAAGCATTATATCAGAGTTATTGCAGAATGTGCAATTAAACGATGAAGAGAGGAATGCTGATGAACGCGTCATTCAAGATCTTCAAGAAGTTTCCTCCTGCTTGTCTTCTGATGTGAGTTGAACCAGTTTGATGCAACATAAAATTGATACCGGTGATCATCCACCAATCAAGCAACATCCAAAACATCTACCAATTGCTAGAAACAAGAAGAAGTACGAATACATTTAAAGGACATGCAAGAAAGCAATGTCATCGAACCTTCCACAAGTCCATGGGCATTTCCCATAGTCCTCATCAGAAAGAAAGAGTGTTCAACGAGGTTTTTTGTTGACCATCACCGGTTGAACGAGGTTACGAAAAAAGACAGCCACACTCTTCCTAGAATTGACGACATTTTGGACACTCTTTCAGGAAGCACGTAGTTTTTGATGCTTGATCTAAAGAGTGGATATTGGTAGTAAAGAGTGGTAGTAGAGGTACATCCTGATGACCAAGAAAAAGACAGCATTTGCTATGGGACAAGGACTTTGGCAGTTCAAGGTGATGCCGTTAGAACTGTGTAATGCACTGCCAATATTCGAATGCCTAATGGAGACTGTTTTGAAAAGTCTTTCGTACGAAGCCTGTCTGATATACCTGGACGATATCATCATCGTCGGAAAGAGTTTTGAAGAACATCTAAAAAATCTTAACAAGGTACTTCAGAAACTAAAAGGAGCCAATTTTGAGTCCCGCTAAATGCAAATTAATCTAAAGTTGAGTCCCTCTAAATCAAATTATTCAGACAGGAAGTGGCTTACCTCGGATATGTCATCTCTGCTGAAGGTGTGTGCATGGATCCTGAAAAGGTGTCAGCCGTTAAAAACTGGAAACGTACTGAAAATGTCCATTAGCTGAGAAGCTTCCTAGGACTTTGCATCTGCTATAGGAGATCCATGAACGACTTTTCTTCCATCACAAGAGCTCTTCACAAGCTGACAGAGAGCAAGCAAAAGTTCTTGTGGACAAAAGAATGTGAGGATGCACTTAAAGCACCTGAAGGAAGCTTTAACATCTGCTCCACTCCTGACGCATGCTCAGCTCGACAGACCATTTATTCTTGACACAGATGCGAGCAAAGAAAAGTGCTGGTGCTGTTTTGTCTTGTTTGCCAAGAACATGTAGTGGCTTACTGGAGCAAGTGCCTCTCTAAACTAAAGAGGAATTACTGTCACCAGGACTGTGCTGCTCGCCATAGTCAAAGCCTTACAGCATTTCCATCATCTATATGGCAGAAAATTCCTACCCCCACGGATCCTTGGCTTGGCTTTTAAATTTCAAGAATCCTGAGGGTCAAACAGCTAGGTGAATAGAAACTCCAGGAATATGACATCACTATCTATCATCAGAAGGGATCATGGTAATTTACTTTTTAAATGTAACATGGAAACACTGACGCCCTGTCTAGAAAACTTTGCTCAGACAGCTGCCGATATTATTCCAGGGTCAAAGCGAAATACGAGCTGCTGAGTCTGGTGGCACGACTGATTACAACATCAACATTGGCTGATTGAGACCCATGGAGTGACAAAGAAGTCAGGAAAGACCAGCTGGAAGACGGCAACATTAAACCCATAATTGAACTGATGGCGTCTTCAAACAGAAAGGCTACTTGTCAGGACGTTTCAATCTATAGTACCACAACAAAACAATATTGGGCCCTCTGGGACTCGCTCCACATTAGAAACGGGGTCTTGTACTGGAAATTCGAATTGGACGATGGGAAGACTTCCATTGGCAAATGATACCTCCAAGATCTCGGATTCCGGATGTCCTTAAAGAACTACATAGCAGCTCTACAGCAGGTCAATTTGGAATAATGAAGACTTGCAGAGAATTCATGAGCGCTTCTGCTGGAATAATGCAAAGGATGTTGTGCAAAAGTGGTGCTCATCTTGCGATGCCTGTGCAGGTCGGAAAGGACCGGAGAAACGCAGCCGAGGCAAGCTGCAACGATACAATGTAGTAGCCCCTTTTGAGCATATTGCTTTTGATATCTTGGGACCTCTGCCACGAACTGCTGATGGCAACAAATACATCCTTGTTGTCATTGATTACTTCACCAAGTGGCCTGAAGATCCCGAGATTAGCAGAGGTGATGATACAGCATTGGATTTCCAGGTTTGGAATGTCTCTTCAGTTACATTTTGATCAGGGAAGGAATTTTACCTCGGCTGAAATCGAAGAACTCTGCAAGCTACTTGGCATTGACAAAACCCAAACGATGTCTTTACATTCCCAGTCGGATGGCATGGTACACAGAGGTATAATTGAACCATCCTTAATAACCTCTGGTTGGTTTCCAGAAACTACCAGGAACCACTGTTTTTATTGTTTTACCACAGTGCTGTCCACGAGACTACCAGCTATTCCCCATCTCAGATGCTCGTTGATCGTGACCTACGTCCGCCTTGTGATCTCTTGTTTGGTCGCCTTCCCCCGAGGAATACATACAGGATCTCCAGGCCCAGTTTTGCACCAGAGCAAATCAACTTGGTGACTGAGAAGCTGAAGATCCAATATGACACCAGAGCCACTGCACATCGATTCAACAAAGGAGACAAGGTGTGGTAATGGAATCCGACTCAACAGAAAGGACTCTGTCCAAAACTACAGTCACCTTGGGATGGTCTGTACAGAGTCCTAAACAGGCTGAACAATGTTGTGGTTCGGATCCATAAGTCATAGAACTCTAAGCCTAAAGTCATTCATTACGATAGGTTGGCTCCTTACTATGGCCATAGTACATAGTGTATATAATGTAAATAGTATATGACCATGGTCCTTTTAGTTTCTAAATTTGAAAAATTTATGCACTCATTTGATTTGATACTTATTGCAATTATTTATTATTTACGTTGTTTCTAATGTAATGTTTATTAATGCATTGATGCCTTAGCTGTAAGTTTGGTTTCCGGTCCAGGGATTGTACTGCCCAGGTTGTGCAGTCGTTAGGAAGGGGCCAATGTTACAGATTTTGTATTTATTTAGCTACTTTTAGTAGAATTTGTAATTAAAATTGTTTTATATCCCTGTGCAATGCTACGCTGAAAAAATTAAAATACAGGAGCATGCACATTTAACATTTTAATAAATAGATATTTTGTAATTTTACTCTTTTTCTATCCAGAAAAATCAGGAAAAATACTAGAATGTTCTTGTGTAGAATTAGAAAGCTTATAAAAGTTGGAGGAAAAAATCTCAATTCAGTTGTTTACTTAGTGCTGTTATTGAACGTAGTGAATTCGCGGCAAGATTGGATTAGTTTTCTTAGTGTGTTGAACTGAGTTCTATTCAACGTTTTAGTACTTACAAATATAACTACTGTGAGATATTGCAATATTGTACCACTATCTCTGAGGAAATTTCAACATTTGGTTTTATTTGTTGTGATAAGAACACATCTTATTCACTTTTCATTAACTTGTGTATTCAATCCAGTACAAACCCGTATGCACTGAACAACAGAATTTTAGATATTAAAAATTATCAAGTTAACTACATACATTCTATAAAAGTATTTGTATCCATGAATACTGTTAAGAATTTAAACATGCCAATCATAATTTTACATATTACTTTAAGTTCTGTGAACAAGTTAAAAAAAATTATGAAAATATTAGTAGCTTACTTTTGTATACTGTTCCAGAAGTTTCGTAAAATAATTGAACAAACTGTGCTGTGGTCTTAAAAAATCAAACTGATAATTCCTTTGTTCCCTATTCATCAAATTAGTCAAGAACTGACGCCCATTCCGAGCAACAAATTGAGCAGTCAGTTTAACAATGTCACTAGAACAGAACAGCATGATATAAATTCAACTAATATTATAAAATAAATATTATATGAGTAAACTATGAAATTAAAGGGAAAAAAATAATTTATTATAAACATTTAGTTTATATCAGTACATATTTAAACAACACATTCAAAAATAATGTATGTCACAGAGTTTTTTTTTTTTTTTTTTTTTCCCAATTCATACTTACAGATCAAATGCAGATATTGATGGAGGATCTATTATGAACTCATAATCTGGTGGAGGCTCTTTGGGAACAATCTGTATTTCTGTCAACTTCAAAACATCTGCCTTGGCAGCAGCAATTGACTGCACATGATTAAAATAAAACTTTTAAATATGAATTAAAAGCTCTAGCATGAACTAGTAAAGATCTATATAAAAAAAATACCGATAAGCATAGCTGAAGAGGATAAATTTGAGGACTGCAATATCAGAAAGCACATAACTAAATCAAATTTCATGCAACTAATGCATATTAACATAAAAATATATAAATAAAATCTAATTTTAAAAAACATACTTTTTAACATAGGATAAATATATGGATAGTAATATATTTGTTATAAAAGATTTCAAAATAAAATGCAAACTATTTTCAACATTTAAAGGGCAAAAACTTCTAATAAAGTTGTTACTGATATTAAAAAAAAAAAAAAAAAAAAAAAATCAGAAATCTAAAATTAATAATAAAATTGCAATATAAATACTTTTGCCTCATAAGAAATTGATTCTATTTTTATTAAGTTTTTAATATGCAGGCAAAATATAATGCCACAGCTGCCAATCTTGAAATATGAAAAACCATGAGATTCTCATGGGGGGGGGGAAACTGGGAGATTTTTGGCATAATTTTAAACTGATGTAAATTCACTTTAAGATGCATGATTCAGATCATTGAACTATTTATAAAGCAGTTTTAATGCAAGCTACATTAGAATATAATTAGATATTGAAAATTTCTCATTCTTTTTTTACATTTTAAAAATGATTTTAAAAATTTAAAATATATTACATACTAGAGAATAAATGTTAACAATTAATTTTGGCAATACTTTTTTGTTCATTTACTAGGCTCAACACAATATTGAGCAAAAACAGGAAAAATTACTGGCTTCATTTACTGGGCTAAACATATTATTTAGACACAACTGAAAATATATTTAACATCCTTCACATGCTTGCTATTTATTCTTTTATTAATTCTGTCCAAAGCTGTGTGACATTGAAAAAAAAATGATAATGGAATTAAATTTGAATTAAATTTAGAGGAATAATCATTATAGCAATCACAGAAACATATATATTATAACACTTAAAACATATAAAAAGGAAGCTTCTATAAAACTCAAAATATTTAGATAGTTTCTACATTAAAAAATAGATAAAATATCAAAACTTTAGAATTTAAGTCCATAACTCAGATATTATGCAATTAAACTATGAGGCAATGATAATAAAAAATCTGAAAATGCAACTCTGATAATTAGGTAATTAATATTAAGCAATTTTAGTGAGAAATATCGGAAAAACTATTTAAACCAATATTAAATTTACTCACTTTAAGTGGAGGTGTATGGGTAACATTCACATCTGGAGCTACTGAAAATAATATGCAGTTAAAATAATGAACTATAATCCAACTTTCATATCAAAATTTTATAATTTATTAAAAAAGTCATAAATAACCAATGACCAAAACAAACAATAAAAACCACAGAGGAATTCAAAACTAAGAGGCATTGCCATTTTATAAATGCTTACAAAATAATGATTATGGTTCAGCAGTTATTTCTTAAACCTTGTCTGATACTTCTTATTCTTTAAATATAAAAATTTAAAGATTAAGAAGATTTGAGCATGCACAGCAGCAACGATTACTGCACTATGTAATTTCTATTACAAAATTTAAGGTAAGATATCATACTTAGCTGGATAGATTTAAGATTCAGTTACAGTGAAATATACATTAATTGATTATCAAAGTTTTGCTGCTGTGGCTTGTCTGTTAGTAATATCAGATCAAGCCAATGAATTGTTGAGACTTAAGAATTCAAGTATCTTTATAATAATCTAGTTATAATACAGAATTGATTTTTGACTGGAGTAAATTTGGTGTTTAAGACAGCTACTGCACAAAAGAATACACAAACCTGTAAAGACCTGAATTTGGGACATAAAAGATAAACTTTATGATACCAGAAGTATAATTCTCTTGGCCAAGGTGAAATCTAGTGAAAGAAGTATGGGTCTCTCTGCTGCTCACCTCAAGTATGGTAGCTGCTTGCAAGCATATAAGGCAAGATCAGGAGTGACTCTCAAAGATGAGTGATCTCGAATCTAACCGTAGCAAGTTCTGCAAAAGAAAGTGCCATAGCCTTCTGATGACGGTAACTAGAAGGCATATCAGCTTATTTCATTTCCACAGCTGTCTACATGTGATGGAACACACTTGAGAAACACCATATGATGTTCACTGACCGATTTCAACTTTAGGATAATGTTTCAATAGTGCATCATTACATTTCCACCATGCGATATATTTAAAGTAACTGTGATATATTAAAGTACTCTCCATCATAAACAGTACATCACTCAAATGAAAGCATTATTCTGAAGCACTGAAATAAAGCATAAGCAAATTCTTCAATAATCAGCACAACTGATTAAAATGAGGATGGAAATAAAAATTCGAGGTTTAAAACAAAACATGGAAAATTAAAAAGTTTTACTTAAAAATAAATACGAGAAATACTGCCATGGATACATATACAGGGATCAGAAATTGCAATAAAACTAATAACAATGAAACTATAATTGTGATAATCTTTTAACCTTATTAAACTGAATTTATGCAATCATCTACAACTCTAACAACATGCATCAATATAACTTATTCCCATGAAAATTTTTCACGAAGTTAACTTCATATCTGCTTGATTTCTTGAGAAATTTTCGACCAGGAAGAATTTAATCCTATTAATTGACTACCATGTAAATTGCAGGACAATTACAGGTGAATATTACTCCAACCTTCTTTACCAGCTAGATGCCAAAATTCATGAGAAGAGGCCTGGCTTGAAGAGGAAAAAAATCTTTTTTCACCAGGACAACGCAACTGTGCAGAAGGGTACATTAACGAGAGGAAAACTGCGAGATTTGAGGTACAATTTGTTCAGCCACTGCCCCCTATTCTCCTCATTTGGCACCCTTAGACTTCCATCTATTCCCAAATTTGAAGAAATTTCTTTCTGGGAAGCATTTCACATCTAATGAGGTTCAGAGATGGTCGTAGATGAATATTTTCACAAAATTCCAGACTGTCACTTTCGGGAAGGAATACTGATGTTCGAGAAACGCTGGCCCAAGTGTGTTGAAGTCAAGGGAGATTATGTAGAAAAATAAAAGAATTTTTTAACTGAAAGTCGCAGTTTTTCCTTGCCAGGCCAAGGATATTTTATCAATTTCTGTAATTTAATGCTGCTAAATTAATAGTTTTTCACTATTAACTTTTCAGTCACTGTTCTATGACTATACCCAAAATGTACAACAATTATGAGACTCTGTGAAATAGTGGAACAAAAAACTTAACAGCACACCACAGTTCACCATTATCTGGAGTCATACCTAGCAGTATTTCTAAGGAAGCATCATACACCAATGATGATTATATATTTGGGTCATTATTAGAAGTATGTGTTGAGCTGCAGCTACCTATGTAATTGTGAAAAATAAACTGTTCTAGTATGCATGACTTCGCGTGCAAAGTATTATTACTTGTTTGTGCACATATTATGAAGAAGCAACAAAAAATAGTTTTCAGCATTGACATAAAAATTTAAACAAATTTACAGAAATACAAGTAATATATTATTTTCAGTTAACTAAAGCATGAAATTATTTTATAATTACCTCCTTTTCCCTCTCTGAACTCTTTAACCTTATGTTGATAGTAAGCATTATAGGGATCACCAGGATTGAGGAAATTGAATTTCTTGTTGTTAATTTCATTTTGCCGAATACGAGCTTCAAATTCAGGTCCTGAAATTAATTCACATTTAAGTAAATTAATCCATTAGCTAGATGCACACACATAAAATACAATTATAATCCATTTCAGGCAATATCTCTTTAAAAAAAAGAAAGAAGAAAGAAAGAAAACAAGAGAGATGAATAAATAATACTAAGAAGCAGCTATCAATAAATATAAAGATACAACTAAAATTACTAATTCTTAAATTATTTCACTTAAAAAATATAAAAAAATTAAACATATATCACTTCAGAAGGGTAATATTTCATTAAATTACACTGCTTGTGAAAATAAAAGAATATCAGCAAAGTTAAAGAATGCCAAAAATAACAGAAGACAATAGGTACAAAAGCTTATTTTACAAATTACCATATTTGTTAGTTGATTCGTCTCAAAATACTGAATTTATAGTCCTATTTATAGAAATTTAAAAATGATGTTTACAAGAAATCTTTTCTTAACATGCAGTATAGTCCGCTCTAACAGAAATCCATACCTCACATCTTAATTTCATACAATCTGTCAATGTGTCGATCAAGTCTTGTAAAATTTGCGTATCATTCTTCTGAAAATACAGTTTTCAGATCCTGGAAGGTCTACAGCGGTATTTCACACAATGCATTACAGTGACCTAAGGCATCACATACACGCGGAATTGGTTAAGTCTGGTGAGTAAACTAGCCCGAGTGTTCCCCCCCCCATTTCCAAGTATTTTGACAAGAGGGATAATCAATATGCACAAACACTATCATCCATTAGCAAAAAATATGGAAATATGGATCAACAGCATTCCTAAACAATCTTATACAGGGTTCTAAGACCTTCCTCACATATCTTTGATTAGTTACAAAATAATCATCAAAGATAAGCAATTCAGTGTGGTCAATTTTCACGATTCTATCACAAACTGTAACATTGCTTTTAAGGAAATGGAATCTTTTAAACATAAAAAAAGGGAAATTGCATGTTCCTTACTTCTTCCAAATTAAAATGTATCTAGAACCTCAATTCAGGCAATATCTGGACTCATCATATAAGAGTACAGAGTATTACATTTTCAGGCTCTATTAAACACGAGTAACAACAGCATTTTAAAAAAGCCCCTTGAAGAAGGAGAGACTGGGTCACAAACTATTGGTTTTCTGGCATAAAATCCAAGCTCTTGAAGTTTTCATACAATAGAAATGGCTGATTCTAGTTCATATGTTAGAAGACTTAAAACCAACTTTTTTGCAGTTATTTTATGGTTTCTTTATGGAAACAATGGTAGAAAAGGTTTTCTGATTCAGTTACTTCTCCTGACTGCCTTTGATAAGGATATCTACAAACTAATTCACTACTTAAAAAGCAATTCAAAGTTATTGATACAGCATTTAGAGGAATATTCAGACCTTCAGAAACCTCCATTTGTGTTTGCCCTTCCCTCGAGTCAACTGATTAACCACCCTTTGCTACCTAAATATTTGTGACAGCATTCAATTTTTACTTGATAATAAAAACTTCACAACAGCTAACTCTATATAAAAAAGTACATGAAATCAAGTATGGTTTTAAATTTTTTGTTCTTAAAAAGGTTTGTAAAATATCTGTCAAAATGAAAACAAAATTTCTTTCTTTCTTTATTTATTATAATTGAGGTCGAGATCAACAACAGTAGAGGACAACAGTTATTGTATATCTAAAATATATTAACATACTGCCATATAAGAATAAATGGTTAGAGTAGATTTAAGAGTGCCCCTTGGATTATCGCTAAGTTGTTGTTTCATTGGTAAAAATATATTTACTGGTGCTCTTTGGCGATAACTGGTGATTTTTGGTGGTACATGGACACCGAGTTTGTGCAATTATTTGACTTTTTATTTTGGCTTTGTGTAGCAGCGATTTTGGCGCCAAAAATCACCGTTACACGAATCCAAAATAAGAAGTCAAAGAATTGCACAAACTAGGCACTATGCACTCCCTTGACTTGTACACATCGATCTATATTCACTTTAAGTCAAAGGCCAACAAAAAATATACGATCTCAAAACACTACATTTTAAATCAAACAATGAAATAACATAAAAAAGGAAATTCACCTTAGCACTACATAAAGAAAATATCCACTTACTTTATTCACAAATTTCCTCGTCTTCAGTTAAACAAAATTCCTTAAAACTTCCTAAAATTATCTGAACTAGAATCTGTATACTGGCATTGCTCCATAAATTCACAAAAATAAGAGTAAAAAACATCCTCTGATGTTTGACCATATGCATTTCTTTTCTACAAACAGGACACTTATAGTGGCAACTAAGGAAAACCTTCATTTACACACCAGGAAATTAATGCTTTCCCCCTTTTGTTTCATATCATACAGAAACTTCAAATTTATCTTACAACATTCAGCCATTTTACTATGAACTTCTTCTCCAAAATCCGTTCCATCGTTCAAATTCACCGCAATCACGCAACCAAATACATCATAATATCGTTTCCATAGCATTCAACTTCTCAGGTTACCACAAATGAAACAACTTGGTGATAAATGAAACAACAACTTGGCAATATACCTAGAGACACAATTCAGTCTACTCTAACCATTTCATTTATTGCCAAGTTGTTGTTTTATTTATGGTAACTCAAGTAGTTGAATGCTATGGAAATCCTAATATGATGTAACTGGTTGAGTGATTGCAGTGAATTTGAATGACAGAAAAAGATTTGGAACGCTTGTTTGCGTGTTGGATTTTGGATAAGAAGTACATTGTTCTTTTGTGGTTTACTCGATAAAATGGTTGAATGTTGTAAGATTAATTTGAAGTTTCTGTACAATTAGGAATGAAAGGGAAAAAGCATTAATTGGCTGGCATGTAAATGAAAGGCTTACTTAGCAGCCATTATAAGTGTCCTGTTAAGTGTTCCTTCTTACAGGAAGGAAACGCGTATGGTCGAATGTCGGAGGATACTGACATTATGCAGGATATTTTTTACTCTTATTTTTGTGAATTTTATGTGTCAATGGCAGATTACAGATTCTAGATCAGATAATTTTAGGAAGTTTTTGGATACTGTTAAGGAATATTGCTTAACTGAACACGGGGATATTTTAAATAACTGGATATTTTCTTTTGTGTAGTGCTAAGGTGAATTTCCTTTTTTATGTTATTTCATTGTTTGGTTTAAAATGTAGTTTTTTGAGACTGTACTGTAATTATCTGATCTAGAATCTGTAATCTGCCATTGACACATAAATTCACAAAAATAAGAGTAAAAAATATCCTGCATAATGTCAGTATCCTCCGACATTCGACCATACGCATTTCCTTCCTGTAAGAAGGAACACTTAACAGGACACTTATAATGGCTGCTAAGTAAGCCTTTTATTTACATGCCAGCCAATTAATGCTTTTTTCCCTTTCATTCCTAATTGTACAGAAACTTCAAATTAATCTTACAACATTCAACCATTTTATCGAGTAAACCACAAAAGAACAATGTAACTTCTTATCCAAATCCAACACGCAAACAAGCGTTTCCAAATCTTTTTCTGTCATTCAAATTCACTGCAATCACTCAACCAGTTACATCATATTAGGATTTCCATAGCATTATATATCTTTTGTTGGGTGCTAATTTGACTTTTTAAATGGATATAAATATATGTGTACATGGACAAAGTCAAGAGAGTGCATAGTTGTGCAATTCTCAGATTTTTTTTTCAAGTGAAAATGGGTCGATGTGTAACATAGATACCGAGTTTGTGCAATTCTTTGACTTATTACTTTGGATTTGTATATCGGCGATTTTTGGCGCAAAAATCACCGATACACAAAGCCAAAATAACAAGTCAAAGAACTGCACAAACTCAATGTCCATGCATCACCAAAAATCGCTAAAGGCTATCGCTATATAAAATCTTTCATCTGTGCTCCTGCACTTCTGAAAATTCTGTATTAAAATATAGGAGGAAAAAAAGAAATTACTCTAATGACTACCATATTAGATACAGTACAAAGTCCGAGATCCAGACCTCAAAGCTACCAACAACTCCCCCCCTTTGTGCATAATAAAACATCTGGAGAGTGTGAATTTTTAATTTCACTTTGGCACTAAATCGTTTTTGAAGAAACAATCACTTTAGCATAAATTTGTATGATCAATAATTTGGCTCCATTGATGCATATGTGCTTGGCATACATCTCAAACTGAAACAAGAAATGTTGATGAGGAAAAATATAACAAAAATCTCTTTCCATATGCTAAAAATAGGTTTTGTTACTGATACTCAGAGGCCAAATGATTAAACGTAGTGCTATTTGAATTAAGAATAACTGATTTGTTATTCACATAAACCCAGAACCAGCACCAGGGCTTGTATGGCTGCAAAATTTAGGGAAAACAAAGGGAGGTGTGCTTGGCATTAGAACTTAACATCCACAGAGACTGCGTCAGGCAGTAAGATATCTAGCACAAGCCTTCAGTTATATGTGGGACTTTATTTATTCAGAATTCGGATAAGTCTGAGAAGCATTTATTTATTCACTCGGATATGCATGTGCAAGAAATAGACATAAGTATAATAAATAACTAAACTATTACTCAGGCTTAATTGTCTCAGTGCATGATAAAATTTAGTGGAACAACTTGCCCTTAGCCACCAATTTCATGATACATAGCCAAATATGTGTAGTGAACAACAGCTAAATTTTATGATGATAGCTGCAAATTTTATAGGTTTTCGGATATTGCAAACCAAAGGTGACATTTTCCAATTAACGGATTCTGTAAAGAAATCTGGAGAAGCGGCAATAAATGAAGATGATATAAAAGTTTTTCATTATGATGACAATGCTCCTCCATTATCAATCAATTAATGGACGGCAAAATCTGCAGTATGGTTCTAGATACAGAAAATACCACTACAGATAGTGAAGAAAGTGACAGAGAAGTTACTGAAAATAAAAAAATTTCAATTGACAAGTTGGGATTCTCGACGCAGCAATTACAGGACTTCAACAATGTAAGATAACAAGAAATTATGTCTGTCTACAGAATTAAAGAGAATGTATTAGCACAAAAAACAAAGCAACTTTAAACAATGTACATTAAAATAAATGTTTAATAAAGTAAATAAATAAATAGGAAGCTTTTTTTGTAAATTTTAATACCCTTTAGATCATAAATGCTTCATTATTTGAAAAATCACAATTTCATATTTTTAATTTTTTAATTTCTACATGCCGTCTTACTAGATTTAAACTGATGATCTAATATCCGGAAAAATTCCAAATTCGAAATTACGGAAGTCCCTACGAGTCTGAAATTTGGACTTTGTACTGTATTAGCTTTAGTTCATCATAGAAAATTATGGAAAAGCTCTCAGAAAAGTATCAAAAAAAAAAAAAAAAAAAAAAAAAAACTCTTAACTGAAGAATTAAATATATATAAAGAACAATTTTATCATAATATTAATTTAATGTCAAAATATCATACACACCATTTCTAGCAACAAAGCTGGCAGTCTTGTCAACAATATCTAAAAAACTGTTAAGAAAATATTAATAAAAATTCAAATATTACTTATCAAGTTATCTCATATATTTGGAAACATATATGGCAAAAAATACATCACATAAGTTTTGGTTATAACAACAAAAAATATTGTTCATAAAAATTTCATTACTAATTGCTTGGAACTATTTCAAAATCCTTTTTCTCTTGGAAAGTGGGGGAAGACAAGAGGCTTTATATATGTAGTGCCGAACGCTTGGAGCTGTGATGAAAACCAGATGCTGTGAGGTCATTCTCTCATTCATACTACTAGCTCCGAAAGCACCAAGCAAAATTAGGGGGATTACCGTTTTGAGATGATAGATGATTGACGTGGGAGCAGAGACGCTGCTTCTGTTCAAAAAGAACTTTGACGAATAATTACTTGTTAAATTCTCTTAAATGTTAAATTTATGTAATAATCGTCTGTCTGATTAAAATGTCTTTTGTTAAATACTTTGCTCATCGTTTAAAATCCTCACAAAAATTTTCTCAGAAGTGGGATAAAATTTTTGTGGGGATTTTAAACGATGAACAAATTAATTAACGAAAGACATTTTAATTACATAAATTTAACATTTAAGAGAATTAAACAAGTAATGATTCGTCAAAGTTTTTTTTTAACAGAAGCAGCGTCTCTGCTCCCACGTCAATCGTCTATCATCTCAAAACGGTAATACCCCTAAATTTGCTTCGCGCTTTTGAAGCTCGTAGAGCATGGACCTTATAAGAGATAGACTAACCCAGTGGGCGGGGCGCACGTCACCGACATGTCGGCAAGAAAGAGTAGGGACGATCTGGTTTACTTTAACACTGAAACCTATGGCGTTTGTATCACATAACACTTTTTAATTATTAAATGTGATATGTTGTATAGTGATGAGATTATAAAAGCCACAGTTTTTTCCAAATAGGATTTAATATATCTCATTAAAGCACTTTTTACTGCATTTCGCGCATTTTTTTCAAGCGTAATTCTTGTTCAAACATATTTACTTCGGTAAAATGGTAAAAACTCTAAGCACAAAATTTATGAACTTAATATTTGCGTACAAATAACGTAAAATTAAATAAGATTGATAGTACATGATGCTTTGAAATAAATAAATAAACAAGATCTGATATATTTTTTTTTTTTAAATTTAATGACCATTTTTAGGCAGTGATTTTCAAAACTATAATAGCATTACAAAACAATCATTTTTTTGATTATATCATCATTAACTTATTAACATTAAAGTGGAATATTTATTTTAGTAATTTATAAAATTCGGAGCATAAAAGTTTGAGTTTAATGAAAGGGGGAAAAAAAGGTAAAATAAAATCTAGAAGCACTTAGATTTTATATTATTTCAAAGCATCACATACTATCAATCTTATTTAATTTTACGTTATTTGTATGCAAAATTAAGTTCATAAATTTTGTGCCGAGCAATTTTACCGTTTTACCAAAATAAAGATGTTTGTACAAGAATTATGAGTGAAAAAAATGCGCAAAATGCAGTAAAAAGTGCTTTAATGAGATATATTAAATCCTATTTGGAAAAAACTGTGGCTTTCATAATCTCATCACTATACAACGTATCACATTTAATAATTAAAAAGAGTTATGTGATACAAGCGCCATAGGTTTCTGTGTTAAAGTAAACCAGATCGTCCCTACTCTTTCTTGCCGACATGTTGGTGATGCGAGCTCCGCCCACTGGGTTAGTCTATCTCTTATAAGGTCCATGATCTGGTTTTCAACACAGCTCCAAGCGATCAGCACTACATTTTCGGCCATCCGAGGGTGGACTGGCCCTCCAAGACACTTATATATATATTTAGTACAATATTGTTACATATTTTAAAAGGCATCGGAGATTTTAAAAGAAAGATATTTAAATTTAATATGAAGATAAATTAATATACATAAAAGAAAAATTAAAAAAATTACAAACTCCTAAGTTAAATACACAGGACTAGGTTACGACTGGAAGGAGGAAGGGTAAAGGCAAGGAACTGAAGGAAATAAACAACCATGTGCCTAATGGGTCTGCTACAGTATAGATAATATATATAATTTCTAATAAGAGTTTAATCCATGTGAATATAAATGCTTTATTATTTCAGCAATAAAATGCAAAGTAATTTTTAAAAAGATCCAGTGAAAAGTGTGGGTACTTTCCAATTATATACATCCTTGTCAATATGTTATGAAGCAAAGCAGCACGTCGGCAAAGTAATTGTACGACAACCTATAACGTCGTCAAAAACCCATATATCCATGCACATAGCACGTGTTTTGGCCAGTGTTCACTGGCAAACTACAAGGATTCAAGTATGCACAATTCTCGGATTTATTTGTGTACATGTGTAGAATGGAAAAAAAAAAAAAAAAAAATTAGGATTTCTCAGAAAAGAAGAGTTCTGTTCCTCATGGTTTTTACTTTTATTGATTGATTACTCTTGTATGGAGTTCTTTGGGAATATTTACCTTTTTGAAAATTCCGCATACTAGTTTGTCAAAAAATTAGTCAGCTACAAGTTCACGACTTTTTGGTGGGGAAGAAGTACCATAAATTAACAGAAAAATTTTTAAAATTTGTATTAAAATAGTTAGAAATTACATGGTTAAAAGTTAAACTCATTTAAAATTCCTTTCTACCACAATATCACTTACTCCGTGGCTTACAGATATTTTACTACATGCAAGAGAATTCAGCAATATAACGCAACCTATTACATCGCTATCCTGCTAATAAAAAAATATATCATTTTATTTACTTCATGCAACATTAATAAACTAGTCTACTGTTTCATGTTTTAAAAATATTTTTAAATATTAGTCAACAAGAGTTACAATCTCACATCAATTATTGTTAAAATACTGGTAATAAAACAAAAAGGAACAGAAAAATTTAACATGCAATAAATTTGGTATTCTCAACTGCATTACAAAACATCTCATTATGTATTGCATCTAAAATACGTGGGTTGCTTCAGCGAAGCAGATATTTTTGAGCACATTATCTAAATTTTAGGTGCCTAATGTACATCCAGAGTATAATTGATAAGCGTGATACTTTTTATGCAAGTCTCATTGTTATGCATTCACATCATAATCATTTTAATTGATATATATATATTAAAAAAACAATATTTGAAATCAGATACATTTTTTATTCATATTTTCTACTTGTATCAAAATGGCATAACGATTTAAAACATTAAGTCTTTATATCCAATTATCACAGCTATTTTTATAATCTGAGAAACAGTGTTTAAAAACAATATTTTAACCTAAAAATAATTAGCAATTACAAAAGTGGCCTTTCATTTTAAAATATAATGCAACATATTTAAAATATATATAACAGTTTTTCAAACACCTTAGCGTCTTAATAAGTTATGATATGAAATACTGACGAAATAAAAATTTCCTTTTTGAAATAAAATATGCTACATATAACAGTTATTACAAAAGCATGTTTTTTGATTCTACATTTTATGGTAATAAAAATATTACATATTAAACATATGATAAATTCCAAGTAAAATTTGTTAGGCAATCGGCTATTAAAAATATCTTCTTTTGTAAAATATCTTTTAACATATTTCCTAAAACTTCTTTAAATGTAGCGCACACATAAATAGTAAATAAACTCAAAATACAAACGTCCACAGTGTGAAACCCCTGTTACATTTTAAATATGATAAGAAATTTCTAAACGTATCTATAAAGAAAAGGATACTTCTTAATTCTGGAGGAGGGTAAATGATACCAATCGTAGGTTTGGAGGGAGCACTGTCCTGTGCATTTTCAGTCTGATTTTCTGTCGGAACTTCAGTTTCAACAGTTGGCACAGGAGCCATATTTCATAAAATTATTATCTAACAATTAAATAAACGAAAAGGTACGGAAAGTTTAGTTGTTTTCATCATGCTTTCGCTGGCTCAGGAAGTTTAATTGTTCAGCTTCCGTGGTTCAAAATACGAAATACTATCTAAGAAGGTTCACAGATGAAGCAGGAAAGGTCAACATGGTTTATATGTCACACTTTATGCCAATGACAAGGCATTTTCCTTCAAAAGATTTCGTTGGAAATGTTATAGTAATCTGTTGAAGAAATGATAGGATAGTACGTAGGATGAGACACAATTTGATATCCCAAATTATGGATTTACTGTTTCGTTGCTATTTACACATGTAATCGAGCTGTATCCTGAAGCAATACATCCCTATATTTAATATCAGCCGGTGTATCAACAGGTTATCTATTAGAAAAAACGCTCTTTAACATTTATGTAAACGACATTCCATGTTCAACCAACTCTACATTTGCAACGTACGCTGATAACCCAACGATGCTCAAAGGTCATTCCATAGACCAATCATCCAACATTTTTACAGAACTACATATAAGCGCTGGACACCTGGTCAGAAAATGGAAAATTCAAATAAGCATTGTGGCTATTTTATTCACAAAAAAGAAGAAAATTACAAAAAAGCTCAAGTTTTAGGAAATTACTTTGCTCTGAAAAGAACAAGCATTCTTTCGATGATGATGCTTGGATTAAGCTAGTGCCTTATTTTAAAGCGATTTTCACTCATTTTCTCTCACGGACTCCCCACATTATATTTATTATCCAGATGTTTCGAGAGAGTAAAGCTGAGCTCTACCCCTTAAATGCTCAAAACATATTTCTATCTATAGATAATAAGCTACTAATTTATAAATCCATTCTGCGTCTTTCCTAACCCTACTCCACTCTTTACATTTTTGATGTTACCGAAATATCGACTAGTCTTGCCTGGCGCACCCCTTTTTATTTACTACGACGTACTATCGAGTAAACCTCGGATATATAAGAGCCGATTGTGTATTCCTGTTTACGGAGATTTTATTTAATTTCTTATGACTGGAAATTTAAGCGAAATCTTCCGCGTTTCTACGTTCGAAGGAACAGAAGATGAACAATTCAGTAGTGAATTTAACATAAATCATATGATAAATCTTAAAAGTTCGACTCTGTAATAACGATACATTGATCCGAATCAATGATCCTTGATCCGAATATTCAGCGACGCCAGTAAAACAAACTGGGGGGTGGCTGCTCTGGACACCGTCGAGATGGAAGAGCGGCTCGTTTTTTGTGATACTTGACAAATAGCGAGTCCCGTGTCATCGTTTCGATTGTTACAGAGATCGACGCGTCGGAAATTCTGTCAGCGCTGAGTAGCTGCAATTTAACTTTCTAAGTGTCATTTTAGAGCTAAATTGAAGACGGAGGAGTACATGGATAGTTTTTGGAAACCCGAGTGTTTTGCGATAGAAATAACGCATCTGATGCTGACGATTTTACTTTTATCAGGTTATTTCGACTTACCAAACCTATAGCATGGACGCTTATCAATAAATTAAGGCCATAGTATATGCTATATACTTATATAAGGCTATACTGTACCGGAGCATCCACATTAAAGACAGCAATAACTCCTGAATTAAAGGTAAGAAATAATTATCTAATTAATTATTTTGTATATACATATATACTAACATAGTTTCTTCCTTCGTTCCTCATGCCTTCATGATGCTACTGGAAGCACATTCGACGCATATTTGGGACGTCCGGAGTTCGAACCCCGGCCAGGTCATTGCGAATATTTTGAGTTTCCTTGCATGGAAGTATTCTAAAAGACTGTACAAGCTATGTCCGAACTACAAGTAGGTTTTCGATGATTCATCCTCAGTCACCTTTAAAATGGGGAGTATATGAAGTATTTTCTCCGTTCTTTTTCCGTATGCTTTCATGGTATAACTAGGAACACACTCAACGCGTATTCGGGAGGTCCGGTCTAGGTTTAGTTGATTGTGGCAAAGTACGTTAGGGCTATCTGCCTAATGAGTGGGGTGCCTTCCTATAGGACTTTCGGAGGGAAACTGACTCGTATACGCGTTACACATGGGGAAAACGTCGAAAACGCTCATGCAGTCAGCCCGTTCGCCTGGAATCGAACTCAGGTCGGAACTACCAATGTTCAGCGATTTACAGCTTGGCCGGTGGTTGGCAGGTCGGAAGTTCGAATTCCGGCAAGGGCTTTGCACATTTTTCGCGTTCTTGCATCAATATAACTTGATAGCTTTACATATATTTCATCCATAAATATGTGTACAAATATGTATAAAATTAAATATTTTTTAGTGATTTTGCATTTTCATACATGTTTGGTTCTCCAATTCACTACTTTCACTGCACTTTTGTTCAGAATTCTTCTAATTTGCACTAAGGCTTACTGAAGTATTACATCTATAAATTTATTATGGAAAAAGCAAATTTTTGTACATATTTGTTCTACCATTTCAGCGAGCCTACCACCGGCTGAGTAGTTAAGTCACTGAACACTGGTAGTTCAACCTGGGGTCGATATGCATTTCAGCCAACGTATTTTCATAAGCATACTTAAACATATGAAAGTAAAACGGACTAGCTGCATGAGCATTTTCACGGTTTTACTGTATAACATGGATATGAAATTTCCCTAGCAAGTTCTTCAGAAAGGCATTTCTTCCCTTGGGCAGATATCCTTTGTGTGTTTTTCCATACTCAAATAAACCAAATCAAGCTTGTTATTTCAGTAAAAGTTTTGATCGCGATTTCAGTTAATAGACATTGTAAAGTATTTGAACCTTTAATTGAATTTCTGTATTGAATAACAATAGCTTTTAAACTACCAAAAAATTTTCAGCGAAGATAATTTTTTTGTCAAGTATGAATGTCTTTTGAAAACAACGAAATAAACAGTAAGTAATGAAAAGGAAATTCATTTAGAACATTCACATCTCTCATTATTTAAAAAAAGTAAGTTGCTTTGACTGAATTTTTATAATACAATATATTTTGCAACTCCAGTCTCAAATGTATCAGAAGATTATGATAGTTCTTAAAATGTTCAGCATTTTGTATAATCTTATATGGGGATAGTAATATAAAATAATGTTTCTTATTACAATGTATTCAATTATACTTTACTATATTTATCTCCCTACAATCCCTTCAGAATCCATAATAACACCTACTTACGACGGAAATGCAATAGTTTCACCCTTCGATTGCTTAGCGCATGCACAAGAATTATACAGGCGAAAGTAAAATAATACAGGGAAACAAATATTAGTTGTTTTGTAAATCCCGTTCCTGATTTTCAAAGGTATTATAGTATATGTCAGGAAAATTTGTGGCACCTTCTGATTAGCACTTATAGTGTAATTTATTTTCCTGCTTTCGTTTATGCGAATTATGTACACGGCTTCCGCTTTGACTACTTATTCCTTCACAAATGACTCTCGTAATTTACAATGACTTACTTATTTTAGTGATATACACTCATGTCCATAAATTAAGGATAATGCAAAATCAGGCAAAGTAAGAGTTAGAAGAAAAACGAATTTGATTTATTTGTAAAGCTTATTTATTAAACAAAAGGTAAAGAGCAAAAAAAGATGTTATATGTTTGATATTATTAAAAAAATTAGCGATTTTTTTTTCTCCCTGGAGCAAATTACAAAAAAAAAAAAAAAAAAAACCTTATTTACAAAAAACCAATATTACATGGTTGGTATGATTGTTAATACATTGTATGTCTCCCAGACGATGCAATACAGTCCGTACAACGCCTAGGCATGCTGAGTATCAAATTATCGATCTGATCTTGGGGGATATTACACCACTCAAAAAGCAATGCTCTCCGAAGTTCCGGTAGACATGTAGGAAGGAGGTTGACGGGCTGCAACTCGTCGGCCAAGCATGTCCCACACGTGCTTCTACTGGATTCAAGTCCGGTGAGAATGCTGGCCAGTCCATACGGGTGATATCCTCCGATTGAAGGCATTCGCTTACGATGTTTGCACGGTGAGGACGGGCGTTGTCATCCATAAACACAAATTGTGCCCATGGCGCCCAAAAACCAAAACAAATGTACATGTTGTTCCAGAATGACGTCCCGATAGATTTGGCTTGTCATGGTTCCAATTTGAACATGCAAGGTCAGTTCTGGAACCCAGAATAATTCCACCCCAAACGAGCACTCCTGCACCACCGTAACGGTGTCGTTCAATGATGCTTTTCTTGGTGGTAACGAATACCTGGAGCTCTCCATATGAAAGTCCGGCGAGAATCAGACTGCAAGCTAAACCTGGACTCGTCGGAAAACATCACACAAGCCCACTGTTGCGGTGTCCACAATGCATGCTCTCTACTCCAGGCTAACCGCAGGCGACAGTGAGTTGCAGTAAGTGGAACGCATCTGACAGGTCTACGAGCATATAGACCAATCTGCCCTAAGCGTCTGTACACGGTCTGCCTTGAAATTGTCGTACCAGTGGCTGAAGAGAGCTGACGAGACAGGTCTGAGGCTGTGCTCCGCCTGTTTCTTTTGGCAGTAACGTAACTGCCAAATACCGGTCCTCATTCGGCGTTGTAACTCTGGGGCGACCTGTGCTGTAACGTCTACTCACATTACCATCATCTTGGAATCGTTGCCAAAGCCTGGAGATGACACTCTGGGCAATTCCAAGTTTGTCTGATACTTCCAGTTGGGTACGCCCACATTCCAGACGGCCGATAATTCTACCACGTAAAAAATCATCCAAATGCGTCCTTTGTGTCATAACTATTCGGTTATTGCACTGAAATGCTTATAAAGCGCCTGCGAACAATTTTACTTCTTTGCCTGTATTCCTTATATATCACTCTCTTACACTCTCGTCATTGTGACGTACCATCGGTGTCATCTGGTTACTTCCTGAAATTTGCATATGATTCTTGAAGATGTGTGTAGTGATTTTACAGGTGATATATTTATTTTAGAGTTCGATTTCCGCGTGACTCCGAATTATC